TGAGATTATTGTGCGACAATCAGTCTGAAATCATAGTAGTGTCGACCGCTATGCACGATATATTGAATGCAACTTGTAAAATAAACTTTAAGTTACGTGTTTTCTGGGACGAGTAGTTAACCTGTTTGGAACTGATTGTCTTTGTCAACAGTTTTACGACATGTAGGTTGGATGTAAATGTTTCTTTCTACCATAAATAGTAAATGCTCATGAATAAACGAAAATATTTACTCCTATTGCACGAAATATAACTATACTACAATAATAAAACCAGTGACCGAGTTAATTCTTCAAATAGATTGGGTACTCAAATAGTAAGCTATACACAGACTTGATCACGTTATGTCTGACACTCGATTTTTTACCAGGAAAGGATAGAAAGAGTAAATACTGTACAATACTTTGTTCCACACAATTAAAAGTAGTAACTTTCACTGTGTCCAAGGTAGAAATAAATAAGAGCAAAATCAATCATTTATTTCATAGTCGGTGGGCTGAGACAGAAGCATCGGATTTACAAATTTATTTAGGAATGGTTTCAATGACAATGGAAGATCAAACATACATTCACTCCAGGTTTACGATTTCCAAATGTTAAGCTACAGTTCGCGTTATTCTCTTAAACTAAAGGATTAAATAAATAACCCGTTCATGGTGGAAGTGATTGTGAAACTAAAATGAACTTCCGGCTTGCTTTTTAGAAACTTCGCAGAAGGTGCTGTTATTACCGCCCTCTGTAGATAGTTCTACTGTATCATAATTCTGACGACGCAACGGTTTGTAAGGAGATCTGTGAGGACTCACTCATGTTCCATTCTAAATAAACAAATAGTATCGGTTTTGGTCAGAAAGATGTAATAAACCCGCCTTAACCCTGGGGAAGTTGCCTTATAAGGCCAGTAAAATGTCACTGGGCCCTAGCCAAAAAATATGGCAGTTGGGATACTGAATGTCGATCAGTTAACCAATCCTCGTCAAGTTCAAGACAACCAACGAGCATCAATTAATTGAAAGCCATGGACTGGCCCATACAGTGGTGATCTCACTCTCTTTCTCCTACCTGCTCGTACTAATGCATTTTTGTAACAAAGTCCATTGGGTCATACTGTGATCAAAGCATCCATAGTACCTTGATACGACGAAAGGTTGGTGGACCATGGCTGAGTAGTATCAGTAGGTTCGCAGTGGCATTGGGACCTAACCACACAATCCTCAAAGATCAACACGAGACAACTGGGAAAATAGATATTCAACATTTTACGCGCAGAGAAACCCAACTATGTGGAAGACGTGAAGAATTAATTAAATTAGTTCGAGTTGGTCGAATGGCGTGGCTTGGTCTTGCAGGAGTGGTCCTACTTATATAACAGTCTTTTATCTATATTAAATATGTCGTTCTATCTCCAGCCTAAATGTGTTCTTCATCTTATATTGATGATTGTTACACTAATAATGAGATAAGATAGATAACGATGTGACATTCACGTAATATTCTATAGATTATGTAGTGACATCATCACAAATGTAAAATTTTAGGATTAAGTCTATTATTAGAGAAGTACTCATATTATAGTAGACCATAATTCTACAGGTTTAGTGACTTATTTGCCTAGGTTGAGTAAAAACTCAGAGTGGTTATGAAGCTTCCGTGAAGAAGTTAATACAACTTAGCAAACAAGAAAAGAAAATGAAATTCAAAACATGTGCGTAAATGGTCGATAATACCTGAGTAGGGTGCAACTGTTTTGCTCGTGCTAGGCGGATGGTGAGAACGGAGAAATTTTCAAGAAGACTTGCAGTCACATGAAGCCCATCCTTTATGCGTATTTTCGTGGGAAGGTTGCTGTATAATAATAAATGTCGGACGAGAAATGGGGTTTCCTATACTTTTGTATTAGTCGTAGATACTTTGTTGCGAGGGTTGTTTAGATGCGAGCCTCGAGCAAGTATTCTATTACAAGTGGAGTCAGCAAGATTTTTGAGTAACTGGAGACATAAAACCAAATTAGTCCTAAATCTTCATTTTAAGAGGGTTTCAAGTTCTAGGATACGACATCGAGAGTGATAGTCAATGAGTGAATCAATTTTAAGCCTTTTGTTAGTGACATTGCGTTACGCTTCTTCCAATTTCACTACATCCAGAAGATGTAAATTGAAGAATAAGGACAAACAGTATACAACGTTTAGTCATACTCATATCTTGCAAAGCACAATATCAGGTTTTTTTCGCAAGACGTTACGGATAATGAAGCCCAGTAATTTAGCATCTTAAATGATTTAGTGGAGATATGTTTTGAGAATGCACTTGGTACTTGATTGATGAGATCACTAACCTCACCTGTCATTTCTGTGGTCAATGTACCCACTACATAAGCATACTTGGCTGCTTGTGAGCGTATTTTATGGGCTAAATATAAAGTTCCTACCTAGACAAACAAATTATAGGACTATTTATACCATATGGAGGTAGTATTATCTCATATGTTAAAATAATGGTTGTTATGGTACTGTGGTGTTTGAATGAACTAATGATTGCTTTGTACTTGTTGAATGTGTCGTGACCTAATTTTGTCAAAAGAACGCGATTGGTTCAATGAAAACAAATATTTTTATAACCAATTGTACCAGTGACTGTTTTACTGTGCTCGTTTGTTTAACTGTGCTAATAACAGCCATATTGGTGTTCCATTGTACTCCATTACTTCTACGCGGTTTGTGACTACGCACGTACCTTTCCTTGCCGATCGCATTTGTACTCCTTTGGCACGATCTCGGTATTCTTTCGATACCACGAGATCGCCAGCAAATATATTTCAGCTACCACTATTATCGGCCTTCTGATATTGGTCTACGAGGATCTTATTGGTTAATTGGCACGTAGTCTTGTTGCGGTGTTCATAGTCAAGCTCAACTCGACACCACGCAACAAATGCTTGATTTCGAATTCTAAATACAATACACTCCTTAGTGCTTCTTTAGTACTTCTTGATTCAATTGCGTTATTTCTGGGATTATTAGTTCATACTATAATTCAATTACTCCTAATTATCATAGGTACGTTCAATATGTCTGAAATTAATGGAGAAACTGTTAACAGTAGCCTCTATTTCCATGGCTTCAGTTGAATTTGTAAGCCAGTTTGTCACTTTTGTTATTAACGATTCTTGGCAAACTGTTCTATAATCTGTATAACATAGAAACGGTCTAGCTTGAGAAATAGTTTGGCCAGGTTTTGGTAACATATTACTGGCTTTAAATATGCCATCCTAAATCAACATCTGGGAGCAGTTCCTTCATTCACCCTTTTATCCCACGAATGATGCCACTTGTTTAGTACGAGTTCACAGAAGACCAGCTCATAAAACATCCAGACTTCAAAACAAACCCTAACCGGCCAGAAACCTGGGAAGTGACGAGATGTAATTATTTTCAACTAATAGATTTCTGAACTTAGCAAGACGTCCTCTTTTGATAGAATACGAAAGAGATCTCATTGAAATTGATGTTATTACTTTAGATGTTAGGTTGTGTAGGCAATTATATTCCTTGAAAAGAGCGAAGTGATGGTGGCTTAAGCTGACTTCTTTAAGAAAGAATTCGATACTCAGATGCCATAGGTATTCAGAATTTGACTACACGTTTACACGTAACACCTTTATAGTCAAAGTATACCAACACGGTCGAGTCCGAAGTCATTAATGAAGGGGTTCGAAGATGTATTTATAAGACCGTCGATATGTCGAGAAGCGTTTAGTCTAAGCTGGCTGGCAGTTGCGAATGATACGTGGCACGGTGTACCCACTCGTGACTTAGTATGGATGAGTGACCGAGGATTTTCTACTAGTGTGTCCAGTAAAATTAATAAGGCCAGCATCCATGTTGAAGACTCACAAATATTTGTTCTGGGTATTTATTTAACTCTATCATATTGGGTGCGTGGTGGATCACAGTAAAGGAACTTATTTACGATATAGAAAATTCATAGTTACTAATGACATGCCGAAAAAATACCACGACAAACTGAAGTGACTCTTTATGAGTAAAAGAACATGGAAACAAGCAACGAAACAAAATGGTATGTTAGACAAGATGAGGATTTTCGGGGATGAATGTCACATTTCAGCTCCTTCTGAGATAAAAACCACACATTAATTCAGTTTATCACCGAAGGTTTCTATGAGCGTCATGGCACCAACGGTGAGGTGAGAATGATAAAGCTGGTAGTGTTATTAAATAATAATCCAGGCCAAAACTCCTACGTAGTGTAGGATGGCCCAAAAGGGTGCTATAACACAATTATAATCTTCAGTCACAAACCGTGGTCAATAAGGTAGAAGAACAGACGATGGAGACAGTGTTGATTTTTAATACAGAGGTGGTGTGTAAATGTACTAACGCAACCTTAAGGACTAAATATATCTTACTATGATTTTCCAATTTCTTTTTTCTCTATTAGGGTTAATATACCTAGGTTCCTGCCTGGAGGTGTCGATGATCCACCGCTACTAGACACAGAAGCTCGTTGAGTGGAAGCTTCTTTCATTCCGTCCATAACGATTTTGAACCATTTGAACCGAATAATTATATCCGTCTTTACAATTGATACAGAGAAACAATAAATAATATTATATTTCTGCCACAGCAGGTGTTGAGTAGTAGTGCAATTACATATTAATTGCTACTAATAAAGAAAAATGTGGTCTTTATTTTGTTTCTGCAAGAATCACTGATTATTCATGTCACAATAGGTGTTACTTTTTGGTTATCTCACCCATTATTACACAATATCCTTATGAAAAGGTTACCACAAAAAGAGACAGTAAACAAAATGGAACCCTTCTCCATAGCAGAAATACCAAGGAAGAAACAGTTCGCAATATCTGCTAACACGGTTTGAAAGTTGAATGTTGTTTATTGATCAATGAGCTCTCCGTTTAAATTGTTTCGGACGTTAGTTATAGCAATGCTTAAGTCCTTGACCTGATTTCTTAGTATCAAAGATGAGAGTCGTTTTTAGCACAATATTGTTTTTGTTTGTAAGCCTGGATATTGCCGTATGTAACTCAGAAGTGGATGATGATTCATCTACAAGAACTGCGCTGCAGCTGCGTGATAGTGTGGAGTTTTCTTACTCGATATCAAATTCCTTTTTGGATCTTATTCGTGGTCAGAAACCACCAACAGCTGTCTTTAAAACCCTTGTCAATATTCAAAGTGCGTTTTTTTTGACGTTTTAATCATCTCTCACTTTTAGCTTCTCACCACTCAAGACTCGCATATAGAAGCATTGAACCCGTGAGTTGCTGTTTCTGTCTTTGTTTTACGTTATGATTTGATTTTTGCAAAATGCACCGTATTTTGTCATAGCTTTACCGTTTTAAACTTGCTCGTGTTCCACATGTTCACCCACTGGCCACTTGTTTAGGCCGTCTTAGAGAAGCAACTAGTTTCCCCGCTCCATGCAGGTTTTCCCGCACAATGGTAGAATCTTGTGATTAACTGCTGAGGGGATTCATGTAAGCACCTTGAAATAAATATTTCGTGAAAAGGGTAAACAAAGCATGGTAGAAAATGGCTAACGTATGTCTTTAAACTCATGTATTCTCAACAAAATCTGAATATTAATAATGTTAATTGCTAGTTGTATGTGTACATATTCAAAATTTACTTGAGCTTATAATTACTGAAAGTTATTTCCTTTATAGGGGTTTATTCTTTAAGAAAGATAAATAAGTAGTTCATTTCATCTCACAATAGGCTAACAACCATCCCGCTTTACACCATCTGATTTTTCAGCCACTTGAAAGTACTTCAGTTATTCACTCCCAAAGAAATGTCAAGAGTCTGAGCGTTTGTTTTCCTCTGAAATGGTGTTGCCACAATGTATTCTTAAGGTGTGTCCGAACATCGCGTTATAAGTAAGCAGTGTGAAATATGTAAACATCAGTCGAACTTATATATAGACTGCCACAGCTTTTAAGAGAATCCAGGGCACTTCTGTTATATAATAAATGGAGCTCACAGCCAAAGTATTCAGATTTCAGTTTACGAGAAAAGTAATAGTCATAAACAACGTCAGACTGAGTACATATGTTCATCCCATAAGGTTACCGTAGTGGAACGGATTCATTGAGATACAATAGTACTGATGACAGTAAAAAATGATTAGGTGTAGAGATGATTTTAGAAGTGATTCAAGAAACAGAAGGCCTAGAATAATTGCATAACTCAGGGTGTAAGGAAAAGGAGAGTAAATGCATCTGTCCCATCGCTCAAAATCGTTTGCAATGGCGCAGGTGCATCCACTCTTTGTGTCCTCTCAAACTCTAATCTCCTGAATTCTTCATGTCCTTTATTTTCTTTCCAAATTCATTCCACTGGATTATATTCCTTGAATAACATCATCAAACCCTAATGTTCCTCATTACTACTTATACTTTCACTACCTCTACCACTATGGGATTTGAATCGATAACTACATCTCTGTGCTAATGTGGTGTGGCAATTCGAACTGATGTACGTACGTACGAAGTTCCACGTTGTTACTGACTGACCCATAGCTACCGAATTCAGACCACGTCATCTATGGGTTCGAATTACTAGCCTCAATGGCAGCGCGGACGTCAATTAGGTAGTCCGAGGCTACAAATATGACTTAGATCGATTGTCAGTGACTTCATGAACTGATGGTATTGTTTCACTTGTTCCTAGCCTTTGGCCAATATGCTTACATAACATCAAACTTCGTGCATCGATGTTGGAAAGTGTTTGTGCATGCTCAGCACATTTTCTAGCCGTAGTTGCCAAAAATCCACTGTATTGTCAAATGATATGCTACGTCTAGTACCTTCCATTTCATCTCACGATAGCTCACCCATTGGCCCCAACATACGTAAGGGACTCTTCAAAGATGCCTATAATCAAATACTTGTAACGTCGGAGTAATTTTTATGTCTTGCAGAAATAAAGATCGCGAAATGGTTCAGAGTACACACATCTTTTAGTTTTAAGATAGATATGTTTCCTACTTCACAAAAACTTCTTCGCTTACTTAGGGAATGTATTTTTCCAAAGTTTGCAAAATTTCAGTAGTTCCCTTTGTAAAGCTATCGATAACCTGGGAATAGAGTAAATATGGTTCCTTTTTAAGTTGATCGATTAGAGGGCGAGTATACTGCGCGGCAGTTCGTTCTGTTCTACTTTACGGCTACGAAGCGTGGTCATTAAGATTAGAAGATACACATAAGTCACTAGTACTTGATCACAGATGTCTTAGAAATATTGCTGGCATCTGCTGCGATCACCGAGTAAGTAATAGTGAGGTTAGATGCAGGGTATTAAGGAATGATGGTAAATCAGTTGATTAGGTTGTGAATCTTCATCGACTGAGATGGATGAGCCACGTGTTGCGTATGCCTGAACACAGATTACCACGACGCGCAATACTGACTAGTGTTGGAGACGGATGGTCTGAGTCGTGCTAGTAGATGCAGACTACTTGATTGGGGTCCGCGTGACTATCGTAACCAATTGTTGGAGACTCTGGATGACATGGCTGAGAATCGATCATAATGGTGTTGGTGTATACACTTTTTGTTTCCCACTAAACCGTGAGATTAAAATTACTTAATACCTTTCTTTCTGAGAACTAATTCTTTATCTCTGCATTATATCCTTATATGCTATCTTTATCTACATATATTGCTACTATAGAAGTGATTTTATTGTACTAATGAGATATGAGAACTTGGATCGATGCATATATATGCCTGGTCCTAAATCGTGGATGACTGACCGACTTATTTTTCGTAGTACTGTACTTTCTAGGTTTTACAAATGCTTGAGATTCTTATGTTAAAAAGTACGTCATACTTTAGAAACTTAGTGAATAAACAATTTTATATGTTTATATGTAACCACATACTTTTCTATTCAGGTTGTAACGACATACTTGGGATATGGCATATGTCTTGTTGTCGGTTTTCTATTTGCTATTTTTATGCCCCTTGTTGGAATCGTTTTCTTCTGTGCTCGGTGCTGTGGAAAATGTGGTGGACGTGTACAATTTGTAGATTCCAAACACGATCCCTGCAAACGAGTTGTATACACAGTCTTACTAGTCTTAATTGTGACGTTCCAATTGTAAGTTAGATTAACCCATTCAGAGCAATATATTAATATTACTGCCATGCTTGCTTTTCTTTAAGTTAATGTACGTTGTGGATGTTTGCCTAAGAGCCTTTATCATATTTTGGATAGTGACTTTACGTTAAATTCTCTATTTTTATCTCCAATAAGATTCATTATTTAAAAAATCTTAATTGTGAATATTATCGTCACCAAAGTTTAAGTATTCGAAGCCTTCCATAAGCGATTCTAAGTGTAACAAGTACTTGTAAGGTCACGCCCGTGTGACTTTATATGATACTTATAACATACAGTTTCCCTGTTAATATTGCTAGTTCAAGTCCTTTTTATGAACTAACATTCTTAGTTTTTTTACACGTTTCTGTAAGAATAGCTCTGTGAGTAGTTATCTTATCAGTGTTGGAATATTTCCGATCTAAGTGATTATTAACAAAAGTCATCTAAGGCTAATAATAATCAGGAATAACTATTTAAACGTTGTTAGTAATATTGTTGATGTCTCACTAAAACTTCAACCACTTAGAAGTCTGTCATATCCGTTTCTTTGAATTCAAACCTCTTAATAAATACAGATAGTTCGTATTTGTACAGTTTCATAGTCATTCACTTTTTGGTGAACTTAGGTCACTAGTACACAGTATGCTATTGGATAACATAGTTGTACTCCTTTATAGAGTTCGTCAGTCTAGCTACTTAACTTTCTGCCTATCGTTTTGGAGTTTTGGAACTTCCTAGGATTTGAGTGATCAAATAGCCCTGTTGGCCTATTGTTTTACCCTGCGCATATTGGAAACTGTTTCCCCACCTTACTAGTAATTTGATCCTAATATTTTAGTGATAGTCAGTTCATTTTTAGTTACTGCTATTTCCCACAGCAAGCAAACTCTTTAGAGTTCAACTTCATAATGAAATAGTCAAGAATATATTTCAGGAAGAACTAAAGAAGCAGTTATTTATTATTTATTTATTTGAACACATAGATATTGGTACAAGGAGGCACCAATTACATATGCGCCACACAAATCTCATTTGATTTGTGCGAGGGCTCTGATACTGCCCGGGTGCGCAAACCGAAGCAGGTGGTTTTCTTAGGGGGCCACACCCAGTTAGTCAGTTAGTCAACTATGAAAGTGATATCCACCCTGAATTATCTTGGGGTGATATCTGAACAGCAGTGATATCTATCAGCTACTTAAACCATAAGATTAAAAAAAGTTAGTGGATTTCAGCGGCGTCTACTAAACCATAGATGCCTAAAAACTCATCCTGTTTGGCTCTAAACACGAGCAAAACCAACTCAAACGTGGGTTAATAGAAGACTCACTCAGAAATCGTGAGCAGTGGTGGATACTGAAAGCAAAAAAGATAGAAAAGGCAGCGGCGATATACAATAGTAGACAACTGTTCAGACTTATTAAGGAAATGAGCATTAAAAATACGGCTGTTGAGAAAAAGGTCTCGGAAAAAACGTGTCCGTTATTTACTCAATCCAGGAGATTGAACTGATGGACAGAACACTTTGGAACAGTTCAACCGGTCTTCAGTCACTTCAATTACCCACTATCTCCAAGCAACCTGGATAGCGAATCGATTTAAGTGAGGTTGAAATGGCTGTAAGGGAGAACAGCAGGACTTGATGAACTAATCCCCGAGATTTTTAAGGATTGTGGTTCAGTTTTATCAGTTAGATTAACTGCGATCTTAGTTAAAATCTGGGGACTAGGTGTAATCTCATCTGACGGATCTCGATCGCTGATCGTCCCAGTTTATAAGAAAGGACAAAAGATCCTCCTCTGAGTGTATTATGATACTTCAAGATTGGCTTGCGTCATTGCCTAAATTAATGGTAGAGAGGGAAGTAGTTAAACGTATCGACCGCTTGATTTATTTTATGAGTCTCATCAGTCCTGATGGTTTAGTGCCTGGCAAAATCTCGCTAAAACTTCAGAAAGCTGTGCTGGCTATTTCCAACTTGTGGCGTAGGAGAGGTATCCGTCTGCCAACCAAAGGACAAGTTTCCTGCGCATCGGTTTGTTCCATTCTACTAATGTAACTGGTTGATCAACTTATCACACGCCCAACCATTTAATCGTTAGCTGTTAATCTGTGACAAATGAACTGTATCTAAAACATTCACGTCTGTTAGTCTATTCCTTGTTTGAATTTGAGCTGTGTTTTTATAATAGTATAGGCAGACGTTGGTTCCTGATTACTTATTACGATAAAGTAAAAATTCGTCTAACTAAATTGTAAGATATTAAATCGTTGTAAGTGATATTGGGAAATTTGATTTTGCCTTTTTTGTAGTATTTAGCTTAAAGGCCAAAATATCTTTTATTCACACTAAAACGTAAATATTTTTCATCATAATTTTCTGTATGCTCTTTTATGTTCTGAAGGGCTGCTGTTGTTTTGGCTTTCATCAATCACTACTTATTTCATGAAGCTTTGGTCAGCAGAGACCCGCGCATAGGTGCTTTTAGTCAAGCTAACCTTAGCCTTGTTGAATTTGAAGAGGCTCTAAAAGATATGGTACAGGTTCGTTCAACACGAGTATTTTTACACTATCCCGAATTACTGTCATTTGTAATCAAGTTGTGGAACTTTTTCTGTGGTGCTTTAGTGTGGTTCTTTTCTGTTTATTTCTATCCTTGAGACTTTAAAGTTAACTTCATATCTAGTTTATTATTTGCAATCATACTTCCATTTGTAAAATACTGGACTGAATGTTCAAATACTTAATGATCCAAGGACCAAAATTCATATTTTGTTAACCTACTGATTTATGGCAGCAGTGGGTTAAAGTGACTGTATGCTTTGTGTCTGGATATTCATTACTGATTCAAGGTATTCAGATCAGTCTGTGCCACTAATTGCTTTTTCCTTCTCTGAGGAACTCCAAACTTGATCTAGATCGGACAGACAGGATAGCTGGTGCTTGATATGTTTCATATTGTCCTAGATAAGTGTATCACTAAACACTTCTGAATTGTTTTATTATTTCCACTAGTTCTTTCCTCTTGCCATTACATTCGCTCTTATTATCAGTGTTTTTTCTTGTCTCCTTTGACTCAGTTCAGTTTATGATGTGACTTTTTCAACCGCTACACTTTTCTCATTCCCTAAATTATTTTTGTTTCTCAAATTCCTCGACAGTCGTTTGACTCCATTGTTTAACATTTCTCGTGATGTTTCTTTGGGGTCCAGGTTCTCATTTGTCAAAAAATTATCCAATCCTTGTAGACAAACTACTCTGAAAGTTGAATTTGGCAATTGAATAATGGTGTAGTCCTTATACCTAATTAAGTGCGGTCAGTTAAGGCTAACTAAACAAGTCAACATATAGCTTGATGGTCAAAACCATTTCGGAGAACATACTAGTCCCTGTAAACTCTATTGCCGAATGGGAAGCTGACATAATTATGGTTACTAGTAATTTGGTTCAGGTGTGGTTTTGGGTCCTCATTTCTCATAGTTTTACAATTTCCATCTGTAGAAAAGACAAAAGTTGACAAAAACAAACACAAGGTTTCATAAAAATGATGCACACTGAAAGTCATTCTAAATAAAATGTAAAACTTTGATCACTTGAAAAAAAATAAAATCTTTATGTTTATTATCCGTAATGCATGTGACCTATTGTATCGGAAAGGAGCATGTGACGGTGTTTTTTACTTCTGTTTTTTAGATGGCAAAGAATACTTCTTCAACAGATCTTAGTAAACAAAAAGAACGCTTCATGCGAATTGTAGATGGTAGGTTGAATCAATCAATACATCAACTTTACTACTTTCCATTTAATTTAAATACAACTATTCCTGTACATTTTATTTTTCATTTGTATCTTCTCAAGGGTGTTGGGTAGGGAGAAGCATTAAACATGTTAGTGTAGAAAAGGCTCATTAGTTTAAGCATTCAACTTCAAACCAGTAAGTCTGAACCTCACTCAACGTAACGCGGCTTAGAGAACTGAATAGTTTGATTAGCTTTTTCACATGACTTAAAAAAATGCAGATAGTAAATCAATTGCAAATGATAATGAAATAAATAAGTTTGGTTAAGATTCCCTGTAAGGATTGGTAATCTTCAAGCGCATTCGAAGGTTTCGAGATAGGCTATCGGAATAGTGTCTTAGTTTTGAATTAGAGCCAAACGAATATGATTAATCCGTTATCACAAAAAAATCGACGATTGTTTTAATAAGTATGAACACAGTATATTAAAGTTCAATAATATCTAAACTTATGATCGTCATATGCATGTTACGGTATTCTGCTTTTAACTTGCGATTTGCTATTGAATAGATTAAGGAATTGAATTTACTTGTTCGTCATTATTTTTTAAGGTCAAGCTGTTTACAATCATTTTTGTTGTAATCTTATATATGATGTTTTTAGTCTGCGTATCTAAGTTGTGCAGTACTATCAAAACTTTACTTACTTTTCTTTCAGATAGCCTTGTCAGTTTTCAAGAAGATTTTACTAAACTGTCTCAAGCGAATAATGTATCTGATGCAATTTCAGAATTTCAAACAAGTATGTATATTTAATAATTTACTACTGTGTATACATTATGACCTAATTTACGTGTGATATTTTGTTTTTCTGTTCTAAAGCCTTTTGCATTTAGAGTTGAAAATGATAGAGCTTTACATTCAACTTTTTCAAAGGATCCTGACCTTTGTTGCTACCTTGACGTGGTGGTCGGGCTTGCCTATCGTGATGAAGCAACTGAGCTATACTGGCTGGAACAATCGTTCCTCAAGGTCCTACCATGCCAGACAGGTCGGTTGAAGAGCGGTAAGACTAAAAGCAACAAAACCAAGGTCCGAAGGCAAAGTCGTACTGCTGACTGTACAGAGGTGTGACAACAGTAAGGTGTTTCCTTCAGACAACCAGCATAACAGCGATGCTGCCTTCCCAAAAGGAGGGGTGGGGTTAGAAAATGTCGACCCTAAAAATGCACACCTCGCCTTATCCCACGGATATCCGTCTCCGGCGGTAAGGTCTCAACAAGTACGAAGCTAACACCAAAATTACTCATAAAAAGGTCGTGTGTGACCGACCTCAAGCAGCTGTCCCTTGGGCACTGCGGTCACGCTCTCAGGTCCTACTCACTGCCTTCTCGTGGCGTGGGTGTTGTTTACAAAAATGAGAGAACGAAAAGCGAATGTCCGGCGCTTTAACCGGACCCCAAACCAATGGTGCACATGGGCTCCAGTATCCTGAAGGAACAAATGGCGTATGAACCAATCGTTGGTCACCGGCTACCATGGGACTGCATCTCCTCACGATGCTCCACTGCCTTGTGGGTCAGACGTTCAGGTCGAAGGCTCGGGGTGTGGCCCCCTAAGAAAACCACCTGCTTCGGTTTGGGCACCCGGACAGTATCACAGCCCTCACACAAATCATTTGAGATTCGTGTGGCGCATATGTACTTGGTGCCTTCCTGTACCTATACTTATGTGTTAAAATAATAATTATAATAATAGAGGAACCCTTCCACGGTGTGTGCGACCGGGAATTAATAACCGCCCTCACATCTCTAACAGCACTCAAGACCACTATATTTATAAACAGCATCTTTCTTCAGTCCCTATTATTCCTCTTACATCGACTTTCAAATCTAAACTCCCTCTTTCGGCTTCCTCCTCAAGTGTCACCACAGCTAACGACTCTAGCGCGCAAAACACTGTCCCAGGTCTACTGAAACCTCGCTCCAAACTACACATTTGAGCCTTCAACGTACGCACACTATGCCAAATCGGTCAGCAGGCTTCCTTGGCTAAAACCTTAGAATCTCGTACGATTGATGTATGCTGTGTCTCCAAAACACGCATACAGGATCCTAGTGTGGTCATTCACTTGACCTCACCTCGGCAAAACGGAGAGCCAACGAGAGACACCCTCCGTGTATCTGGCGACCCGATGGCTAGTTCTCGTGGACTGGCAGGTGTAGGCATAGCACTAAGCATGAGGGCGGAACAAGCGCTATTAGAGTGGATCCCCGTTAATAGTCGTCTATGCGCTGTTCGGCTAAATGGCTCCGTAAGAACCCCGAAGGATAGGGACACACGTCGTTGCCTTTTCGTCGTTTCTGCCTACGCTCCCACTGACTGCAGTTCGGATGAAGTGAAAGATGAATTTTACAGAAAACTCTCTGAACTTCTTCAGAAAGCTAAACGTTCAGACATAGTACTCGTAGCAGGCGACTTTAATGCCCAGGTAGGTAGCTTAAACGAAACAGAAAGACATTTAGGTGTGTATTTTAGTATTCCGGCACAGAGAACAGATAATGGTGATCGTCTGCTGCAACTTTGCTCAGACAATCGTTTATTTTTAGCAAACACAAATTTTAAGCATAAGGAGAGACATCGTCTAACATGGCGACTCCCTGCACCAAACCAACGATGGACTCAAATAGACCATATTGCCATCAGTCATCGTTGGAGAGGGTCGGTAGAAGATTGTCGCTCATTTTGTAGTACCTGCTTGGACTCCGACCATGCTCTAATACGAGCACGCATCTGCTTGCGCCTCACTGGACGCAAAAGAGCCACACAAAAAAGACTCATTAGAACCTAATTGAGTAATGAGAAAACCAAAAGTAGGTTCCAGGAACAACTGAGGTCACACTTAGTTAGTTCTGAAAACGAGGCTGACCCAGATGTTGCTTGGAAAGTTATACAAGCAGCTGTGGAAACAGCAGTAACATCTACTAGTGATTTAAATCACAGGGTTACAAAGAACCAATGGATTTCTTCAAGGTCTATTGCACTGATAGATTCTCGTAAACTCATCCCATCAGGATCTGAACACGATGAAGAGCGTAAACAAATCAGATCTAGGTTAAGCAAAAGTCTAAGGAACGATCGTGAACAGTGGTCGGCAACGAAAGCAAAAGAGATGGAAAAGGCGGCGGCTATAGGTAACACCAGACAGCTCTTCAGACTCATAAAAGAAACTGGAACTAACAGGTCAGGTGTAAGTGAGACTATCTCGGAAAAAGACAACACTCTCATCTGCTCCCAGTCCAGACGTTTAGAACGATGGGCGGAACACTTTGAGGAGCAGTTCAGCTGGCCTTCAGCTACTCTACAACTACCCACCATTCCCAGACAGTGTGAGTGGAACATTGAAGTAGGTCCTCCAACTCTAGCTGAAGTTCAAAAGGCTATGTTTATCTAAAACGAGGAAAGGCAGCTGGTCCAGATGGATTAGCTCCAGAGGTCTTTAAGGATGGTGGTCCAATTTTAGCGACTAGGTTGACCAATATTTTAGCTAAATTCTGGGAGTTGAACGTAATCCCCTCTGATTGGTCACAATCACTTATCGTCCCAATATATAAGAAAGGGTCAAAATCATCCTGTGACAACCATAGAGGGATTAGTTTAACTAATATAGCATCTAAAATACTAGCCTCGATAGTTATCGGACGCCTAACAAAGCCTCGTGAACTGCAAACACGAGAGAATCAAGCTGGCTTCAGACCTGGTCGTGGATGAATAGACCACATATTCACCATTCGTCAGGTTCTAGAACACAGGCATACTTATCGGCGTCCGACAATAGTGGTCTTCCTTGATTTAAAAGCAGCGTTTGACTCTGTTGACCGAGAGGTTCTGTGGCAGTGTCTGTCATTGAAAGGCGTACCTCAGAAGTACATAAACCTTGTGAAGGCTTTTTACTCGAACACTACTAGTCGAGTGAGAGCTTATGGCGAACTGTCATCTGCTTTCGCTACCTCAAGTGGCATCCGCCAAGGCTGTCCACTTTCTCCATTTTTGTTTAACTTCACCATAGATCTACTGATGGAAATAACGCTCTCATCGACTGAATTCTCAGGTATTGATCTCCTACCAGGAGGTCCACTTATTGACTTAGAATACGCAGATGACATAGTCCTGTTTGGTGAAGACGCAGATAAAATACAGTCTTTTGATAGAACTGAGCAACAATACCTGGATATTTGAGATGTGTTTCTCTCCCTCTAAATGCAAGTTATGACTTCAGAACTGGCCTGCGTCGACACTTAAACAAAGGATAGGGAGGGAAGTAGTTGAACGCGTTGATAACATCAATTATCTTGGAAGTCTGATCAACCCTAATGGGTTGGTGTCTGAGGAAATCTCTCCACGGATTCAGAATGCTCGTTTGGCTTTCGCCAACTTACGTCACCTACGACGAAGGCGAGATATCCGTCTATGAATTAATGGACGAGTATACTGCGCGGTAGTTCGTTCTGTTCTACTTTACGGCTGCGAAACGTGGTCGTTAAGAGTAGAAGATACTCGTAAGTCACTAGTACTTGATCACAGATGTCTTAGAAATATTGCTGGCATCTGCTGCGATCACTGAGTAAGTAATAGTGAGGTTAGACGCAGGGTATTAAGGAATGATGGTAAATCAGTTGATTAGGTTGTGAATCTTCATCGACTGAGATGGATGAGCCACGTGTTGCGTATGCCTGAACACCGATTACCACGACGCGCAATGCTAACCGGTGTTACGGATGATTGGAAGGAAGTTAGGGGCGGCCAAACCAAAACGTGGCATCAGTGCTTGAAGTCACTAACTTCTAGTCTGAGCCATGTTGGTAGATGCAGACTGCCTGGTTGGGTTCCGCGTGACTATCGTAACCAATAGTTAGAGACTATTGGTGACATGGCTCAGAATCGATCACAGTGGCGTCGGTGTATACACTCTCTGTCTTCATTTAAACTAAGAGATTAAAATCGCTTCAAATCTTTCTTTCTACGAACTAATTCTTTATTCCTGTACTATCTCCTTATACACACTCTTTCTTCTATATATTACCACCACTGGATTAACTACTTCTATGAATCCGGTGTTCATCTTGTTGTGCTAATGCGATATGGCAACTTGGACCGATGCATATATGTGCCTGGTCCTACGTTGCAGCTGACTGACTGACTTTTCAAAGTATAATTACAAAGGTTTGGGCATAAGTGTTAACTTCATCACAACGGTACTAGAAGAAACAAACGATGTAAATCTCTGTCACAATGCTTTTGTGTTAATAAATGGTAATGATATTTGCACATTGATAATTGATCAGCATCAAATAATTTCTCTAAAAATCTCCAGACGTCTTTAATTACAGCTCTTAAAATTATGGTTCGTAAAGGTGACAGGAACAATAGTAGTTAGTTAATATATTACTCAGTGGGTCAGAAATCGACAAATGCTCACAAATTTCTAAGTTATATTCACCTAGAATCTAGGTAAATGCGCCAATATTAGACCCCGGACAACGCTGCAGTTAAGCACTATGTCAGATGATAAGGCTCCTACCTTTATCACTTCGAAACACATTGATCCCAACAGTGTAACAAATTGTGACATAGAAATAGAAATGAAACTATAAAATTTTTCGGACGTCCAAGGAGTGATTTTATATGCTAAGGGTATGTATTTTAATGTAGTTAGGTATAAAATATTTTTTTGGACACAAGATTAAGACATCAATCCATGGAGTTTTTCGCTGTCAAAGCAGTTCTTGTAAACGAATGAAGGCTTTCCGTTCCAAGTCGTTGGAATAACAGTTCAGTTGCTTGTTGAGGACGTTAATTAGTGACCTCGAGAAATCATAGTCACATAACCTGTTTCGAAAATTGGGCATTGCGTTCACATCTTACTTATACACTTGGCGTTCCTCTTTGGATGTTTTTGTTTTTGGTGTGATGGCAGTAAACATGTTAGTTCGAAAAATGACCTATTAATCTAGGCTGTTTGTTGATATCACTAGTTATACAGTTATCAATGTATGCTAATATTTACTTATTTTCAAATCAATTTTGCATATGATTAGCAATACAAAGCAATTCATAGATTTCTATTCCATACTCATGAATTTTTCCTAATCGTATTCACTGTTTCTTATTTACAAGCCGCACGAGCTTTCCTTCCTGGATCTGAGGCAATCGCACAAATAAGTTACTTTAACCATTCACTTTACGAGGTGATCTCTGAATTACCTACAATTCGTCAGCGTTTAACTGATACGTTAAATACAGGTTGTCCCATTGATAAGATCATTGAATGCCGAGAATTGATGGGGCTGGCCAACAATCAGTTAAAAGTTCGTGTTTCACCAAGTATGGTAAGTAATGATTTCATGGATTACATTTTTGTTTTTAGGTTACAAGTTGTGTTTTCAAATGATCTATCATTGCTCACTCATTGTTGAAAAATCTCTATTTTTCACCATAGTTCAGACATAAACAGTTTGGCTTTAAAGATCTCCGCCTTCAACTGACTGAGTAGAAATTTGATTTTGAATCTACATAAAAATATAGTCTAAACACAAACTCCCTTCAACTTGACATTTAATCAGTCTTCTTTTTATGAGGGAATTCGCTGGTTGCTACCATTTTTGCCAACGTTTCAAAAGCTTTCACCTGTTTTACTTCATGTAAAAATCGTATAAAGTATTTTATAGAAAAACATTTAATGAGGCTTAGAGAAAAATAGATGAATAGCATTAAAATGTATTCAAGTCTAATACATTCATTAGTGTATTTTTGACATTCTAACACTATCTAATTTCTAAGAAATATGTGTAGATTTCGTTCATTAATCGTAGTGATATTATTTTTTTAAAAAAGTTATATGCATTTTTCTGATTGTAGTTCCAACTAGACGAAATGACTTCTATTTCTAATCAAATTCAACGGCATCTTCCTGATGTTGACTATCTCAATGAAGTAAGGGTTATTAATTTTATTTCATTTCATTATTAATAATTATTTAAAAAATTATGTTTTCGGATATTACTTACATGATTAAATTACTTGGTACATTTTTTTAACAAACTTAAAGTTTCGATATTGAATTATTGCATATACACTTTTTCTACATCCCCCTCCCAGTATCTCAGTATGTTTGTAACAATTCAACAGAACATCTATTTTGAATTTATCATGAATGGATCAGTGCTAGACCACTATTGAAAAACTGAAAGCGCTGGACGACCGCTTCGTCCTAGTATGGGACTCCTCAGCTGTGTGCGTCCATGATCCCGCGCTCGGGGCTTGAACCCAGAACCTTAGGTCTCGCGCAAGAACGCTTAACCTATAGACCACTGAGCCAGCATTCACCGGTGTTAATGTCTAACTTCAACCAATCCACGATATTGCGCGACTGTTCACTATTGGTTTCAGTGAGTAACTGCCTCACAACAGACACTGTCGAACTCTAATGGCCACGGCATCTCACTAGAACTCCAGGAAATTCATTTTGTAGCCAGTCACTAGTGAGCACATGATAATTATCAGCATTAGTGTTTTAGATTAGGATCTAATAACAAACAAGTTTTGGCTTGTTAAAACGGAGAGCGCAGTTATGTGAGTGGCTTTTGAATAAACTAAGACTTGATTACTAGGCCTAATTCTTGTCCATCATATCGTATTATCATATATTATAAACCGTGCCTATTTAAACTCGTACAATAATTTGCATTATGATTAATTGTAACATCAATCCACATCATATAAAATTAGCATCTACAATTTCTGCACTATACACTTGTGGTTTGATAAATTATATCTTTTCTTAAAATATTCCGAAAACAATTTTTGATATCGCCTTGTCATCTAAATCTGATCGCAAAACGGGATCAGCCTGAAAACTAGGATCATGAATAAATGAAGTCAAGTTAAACAATAAATTCCTTTTGGCCTATTGGTGGTATTTATGACATAGCTTGCCAATTGATCAACTTTCCTCTTACGAAACATATATTTCAAATCAGTAATGAAAGCACATATGTTCTTGTAATCCATTTTAAACCATCATTTGTGTAAGGCCTGGTGATACTATTGTCTATGTATTTTAGTCCCACAGGGTTTAAACTTGGAACTGAGTAGCTACATCGACGGCCTACCTGAATATCTGGGCTACCTGTTTTTGCCATCTAAATATTTCAACAAGTTATCTGCTTTTTTAATTTTTTTAACACCTCATTATGTCTACCAATTACATAACCTATAGAGACGCGTTTATGAGAAACTTACGAACTTTCGCTGCACAGTTTTCAAAAAAGTACGATAAGAGACACCGTTGTGGTTTGCAATATGCATTGAAGAGAATGAACATTAATCTTATGTCGATTCCCGAGCTACTAAATACTAACTGCCCATCACTAATTAGCAGGGTGGACTATTTTCAATTCCTACTAAGTCAAAACATGTATCGTAATTGTGTTGTCATTACAATTCAAGAATCTTGGTTAAAATCATTTACGTGGCGATTGTTTAGTATCACTACATGATTTCAACATCTATGGTCAGGATCGATCCAACAATAAAAAGAGGTATGGCGGCGGTGTAAACATGAACTGGTGTCGATCTACTTTCGCATGTTTCAAGTTTCCAAATGACTTTATCGTCCAAAACACCTGAATAAGTACAAATATGTTTATGTTACCAATATTTACGTGACTCCAGACTGCGCATCATCTGCGCTATCTGTTTTCGCTGATGAATTTGCTGTTACTGCCTTCAGTGTTTCACTTCCAATTGTATATGGTGATTTCAATCCATATGACTGTAGCTTCCTTGCATCACTAGGTCACCAAAATGTAATAGATTTTCCTACTCGTTTGGATGCTCATTTAGACTGCGTTTTCATTAATGTGACTCGTAAACGTGCTCCATTGTCTAGCTCGGATCACTGTATCATTCATGTTCTACTTAAAGTATATGGAAAACATGGAAAGAATACACTCTTACATCAGACCAAGAAAGTCAAATATAGGAATTACTCAGCAGAAAATATTCAAAATTTGAGAAATATGTTTCGTACGACTACCTGGGACTTGTTTACAGATGACTCACTGGAAAACACTACTGATATTATCACTTGTTATCTTAAATTCTGTTTTGATATTTACCATCCCGCAGACCATTTTTAAAAGTCTTGATCGACTTACATCTCCACAAGTAAATCGACTACGGAGAGTAAAAAAAACAATGTACAAGAAGAGAAACTATTGAAGTTCGTAAGCTAAATGGTCTAATAAACCTAGAGATTAGACGTTTCAACTCTATCTTTCTCAACTAGTCTCATACCGAAAATGTAGAGAAAGATAAATATAATCCTTATACTCAAGAAAGTATCTAGTGATAAGACCCGTAGCAATAACTTCGCCTTTCCTCAAAACAATGGAAAAATTATTGATACTCTCACCTCAGCCTCCAATAAAAGAGCACATTGTTCCGTATCAGTTTGCTTACAAATGCAAATGAAGCGCCTTAGATGCCGTTGCTGTTCTGCATCACAATATAATGTTCAGCTTGGAAAAGGGTAAGAAGTATGTTCGATGCGCTTTTCTGGACTATACTTCTGCTTTTGATTCTATTCCACCACAGCTTTGTCTTAACAAGTTAATCAGCGTCACCACTGACAGCTCGATAACCAATTGGATATGTTCCTACGTCTCTGGAAGAGAACAGTACACTGTGTTTGGAGGAAAGTGTTCAGCGTCTCTACTGTCTCATGAAAATGTGCCACAAGGATCTGTTCTGCAATTGGAGACTCTTTGATAAATTGTGTCGAAGGTCAATTATCTTAGTGTTACTTTTTCCTCTGACCTCTCTTGGTCTTCTCATGTTTTAGCGTTGTCGAAGAAAGTTTTCTGTCCGACTTACCATATAAAGAAGCTGCACGCTTTTAGGATTACATTTACTCTTAAAATTTGTCAATTCCTGCATATTACCTATTATTCTTCTTGACTGTTTTCCATTATTCTTTCCCTGGCTTTTGAGAAAAGACTTTGCTGTATTGCAGAGAGTGCTGAAAGAAGTTAGCAAGGTATTTGGTGAATCTTTAGAGGTCATTATTAATATGGTTGTGGATAGACATCTAAAGTCTTGCAAACTCCTGGCAGGTGTTATCACGTACTAATCATCTTCATTCATATCTTTCTCCTTGTATATCTTCTGGTAGAACGAGACGTAAAGTCATTAGAATTCATGCACGCAAGCAAAGGTATAAAAGTTCCATAAAACCTTACCTTGCAAATATACTTTGTGACGAACAGGTTGTTAGAGTTAACCGACCATTGCTGCTACCTTGACGTGGGCGTCGGGCTTTCCTATCTTGATGAAGTAACTCAGCTATACTGGCCGGAACAATCGTCCCTCAATGTCCTACCATTCCAGACAGCTCGGTTGAAGAGCGGTTAGACTAAAAGCAACAAATCGAAGGTCCGAGGGCGAAGTCGTACTGTTGGCTGTACAGAGGTGTGACAGCAGTAAGATGTTTCCTTCAGACAACCAGCATAACAGCGATGCTGCCTTTCCACAAGGAGGGGTTGGGCTAGAAAACGTCAACTCTAAAAATGCACAATTCACCGTATCCCACGGATATCGGTCTCAACAAGGACGGACCTCACACGAAAATTACTCATAAAAAGGTGTGTGATCGACCTCAAGCAGTTGTCGCTTGGGAATTGCGATCATGCTCTCAGGTCACTATGACCACCTTTAATCCAGTTTCGTTTTCAGGTACATCTAGAAGAACCCTTCCACGGTGTGGGCAACCGGGAAGTGATAACCGCGCTCATACCTCTAACAACACTCAAGACTGAAATTTCTATATTGTACCAAAATATAATACTGAATAAAGCCATTAATAATAATAATATTGTCATGGGCTTCATCATTTTGACAACTGCTCAAATTTATCAACTTGGTCTGATTTCGCAGTATGTGTTACTCAATGTTTTATGTTTTGACTATCATGAAGTCCCCTGACATCTTCATTCTAGCATGCTTTTATAATTATTCAGTAAGTTTCTTTTAGTTAGTAATTCCTTTTTTCTTAATTTCTTTCAATGTTATCTAGTTCAATGAAACTATCAACAATCTGGCCATAAATGTGAAGCGTTCCATTAGTGGTGATTTGGATCGTAAGTCCTCAATCATTAGTTTGTAGCCTACTTTTATTTTTATTGTGTAGTATTTTCTTCAAGGCGAATAGTTTGTGCTTTGTTTTATCGTCTAGTTATTTGTTTTCTTATGAAACAGTAATGAATGGTTTTATAATATTGTTGATGAATTACTTCGAGTTTATGGGTTGGAGTTTGATTCTAGTAAATTCAGAGATTGTTATTTGTTAAATAGTTCTACAGTGGGTCATAGGCTCTTGCTGATAGAAATGCCATATGTAAAAAAACAGTTGTCCTGATCCCTGACTTCCACCGATAGCTAGACGGATATAAACTAGTAATAAGGCATTGTCGTACGTTATGATAGACGTTGATTGTGTGTTAAAAATTTGATAACGAGAATCGCGTACCGAATAATTTACAATACTGAATCATCCTTACCTATACATTCAAGCTTTGAAACGCTTTTCGTTAAGATATGTTGATGAAGCGGTCGCTTCTGTACCGATCTAGATGTTTCTACAACTTGGACCGATGCATATATATGCCTGGTCCTACGTTGTAGCTGACTGACTGATTTAAGCGAAATCAGTTACAGTTAAATTGTGACTTTTTAGACATGTCAGTTTTTTACGACTGTTTATCACGAGAATTGTTGGCATTTCCTTACACATTAACCGCATCAATATTTCTCAATTACTTTGTATTTCTATGTTTAGTAGATTACTTTTTTTGTTAGCACATTTAACGTTATCCTACTGCATGAGGTTTATATTATAAATTTGTGCAGGTGTTGTACGCGATCACCGAAATCATTTTCCTTTCATAGAGAAAACTATCTTCCTACCATATGTTATATGTAAAATGTTTCAAATTATTTATTATTATTTATTCGAACACAGAATTTGGTACAAGGGGGCACCAGATACATACATACACACAAATCTCATTGGATTTGTCTGAGGGCTGTGATACTGCCCGGGCGCCCAAACCGAAGCAGTTTGTCATTAATATGTTCTAAAAATGTTCTTGATTTTCTTGTATACTAACAGTTTACTTAACATTTCAAATACTGTTAACAATTAATACAGACTTCTGCTGTAGTACCGTGCTAATTTTAACACGAATAATAGTTTAGACAAATAAATACACTAATAGAATACTTCAGATCGTCGATGTGTTTATATCGTATATTAAAGGTTTGATTATATATATTGCATCTGTGCATTACGTGTTTATACTAGAAATACGGTTCATCGTTCTGTACAACCAGTTTTTTTCTTAAATGGTAATACCTTTTATGACAGGTGACCTATTTTACTTTCCCCATATACCTGTATTGTAGTTTATTTTGCTTAATATTTTCATCTATAGAATTCAATTATTCTGTTTGGGTACGTTCCCGTCATACTTACATAACATTGATTTTTCATAGGTGCCTGGAACGATTTAGCTCAGTCTCCAAAGACACGAGAGAAACTAGCTAGTGTATTCGAACATATTATGGTTAATGTAAGCACCACTTTAAAATTTATTCGTGATCGAATTTCATTGGAGATTAATGAAGAAGTAAATGATCATTATTTACGGTTAGTGTGAATTTTATCCTAGTTACATGTATTTTTGTTGAAGTTTCTTTTAAAAATTTACAGTCGAAATCATGCTGCTTACGTTGTTTATAGAATGAGTGATTGACATGCTTTGGCGAATTATATATTTACGTTTGTCTAACTGACGAAGTAATGCAATAAATGCTTCTAACAGATTTTTAGGCTACTATAAACTCATTACTGCTAACGAGTTAACGATACTTTATTATATCATGTTTATATGTCTTATATGCTGGGAGTCGACACTATATGTTCTTCTGGTAGTAATGCTAGTTTCAAGAGGAACCACCTAACTACACATTGCTTGTTTCATATTTCTAGCTGTTTTTCTGACAGCTATTCGATCGACCAATATTTACATTATAAAATTACATAGAACCATTATCCTTATTGTATGTATGCGAAATTTGTAAGACTACAAACACATGTTTCATTGAAACTACCGTAAAGATCTTGTCGAATTTGAAAAATTTATTAAATCATCCTTGCTTCCTAATCCCATCCGTTGCTGCTACCTTGACGTGGGCGTCGGGCTTTCCTATCTTGATGAAGTAACTCAGCTATACTGGCCGGAACAATCGTCCCTCAATGTCCTACCATTCCAGACAGCTCGGTTGAAGAGCGGTTAGACTAAAAGCAACAAATCGAAGGTCCGAGGGCGAAGTCGTACTGTTGGCTGTACAGAGGTGTGACAGCAGTAAGATGTTTCCTTCAGACAACCAGCATAACAGCGATGCTGCCTTTCCACAAGGAGGGGTTGGGCTAGAAAACGTCAACTCTAAAAATGCACAATTCACCTTATCCCAAAGAATGTCTTGTTTGACAACCTCAAGCAGTTGTATCTTGGGTCACTAAGACCAAACTCGTCTATCAACTCTAAGCTTCCTCCACAGGTGTTACCATGGCCAACGATTCGTGCACGAAACACTGCTACAGGTCTACTGAAACTTCAGTCCAAACTTCACATTGAAGCCCTGTGTGAAATCGGCCAGCAGGCTTCCTTAGCTGAATGCCTAGGATCTCGTACGGTTGATGTAGGCTGTGTCTCCGAAGCAAACGTACAGGATCCTAGTGTATTCATTTACTTGACCTCACCTCGGCAAATCGGAGAGCCGACTAGATACACCCTCCACGTATTTGGCGCCCCGATGGCTAGTTCTTGTGGACTGGCAGTCGTAGGCATAGAATTAAGTACGAAGGCAGAACAATCACTATTGGAATAGATCCCTGTTAACAGTTATCTATGTGCTGTTCGGCTAAGCGGCTTCGTAAGAATTTGGAAGGACAGGTACACACGTTGTTGCCCTTCCGTCATTTTACAGAAAGCTTTCTGAACTTCTTCAAAAAGCTAAACTCAGACGTAGTACTCATAGCAGCTGACTTTAATACTGAAGTAGGCAGCTTAAACCAAACAAAAAGACATTTAATTTGGTATTTTATTATTCCGGTTCAGCAAAGAAATAATAGTCACCATCTGCTGCAACTATGCTCAGAAAAGCGTTTCTTTCTGACAAGCACTAATTTTAAGTATAAGCAGAGGCATCGTCTAACATGAAAACCCTGTACATCAAACCAACGATAGACTCAAATAGACCATATTGTCATCAGTCATCGTTGGAGAGGCTCGATAGTACACTTTAAGGAGCTGTTCAGCTGGCCTTCAGCGCCTTTACAACTACCCACCATTCCCAAACAGCCTGGATGAAACATTGAAGTAGGTCCACCAACTCTAGCTGAAGTTCAAAAGGATATAGTTAATCTAAAACGTGGAAGAGCAGGTGGTCCAGATGGATTGGCTCCAGAGGTCGCTAAGTATAGTGGTCCAATTTTAGCGATTAGGTTGACTAATATGTTAACTCAAACCTGGGAGTTGGACGTAATCCTATCTCACTGGTCGAAATCACGAATTGTCCCAATCTATAACAAGAGGTCGAAATCATCCTGTGATAACCATAGACGGATTATTTTGGCTAATATAGCATCTATAACACTAGCTTCAATAATTATTTGACGCCTAACAAAGTCTCGTGAACTGCAAATACGGGAGAATCAAGCTGGCTTCAGACCTGGTCGTAGATGCATCGACCATTTATTCACCATTCGTCTGATTTTAGAACTCAGGTATGCTTTCCTGCGTCCGACAATGGTGGTCTTCCTTGACTTAAAAGCCGCATTTGACTCTGAAACCGAGGTCAGTCAGTTGTAACGTATGACCAGGCAGATATATGCATCGGTCCAAGTTGCCATACCTCATTAGCACAACATGATGAACACCGGATTCATAGAAGTGGTTAATTCAGTGGTGGTAATATATATAAAGAAAATTGCATATAATGAGATATTACAAGAATAAGGAATTAGTTCTCAAAAAGAAAGGTATTAAGTAATTTTAATCTCACGGTTTAGTGGGAAACAAAAAGTGTATACACCAACACCATTATGATCGATTCTCAGCCATGTCATCCAGAGTCTCCAACAATTGGTTACGATAGTCACGCGGACCCCAATCAAGTAGTCTGCATCTACCAACATGGCTCAGACTAGAAGTTAGTGACTTCAAGCACTGATGCCACGTTTTGGTTTGGCCGCCCCTAACTTCCTTCCAATCATCCGTAACACCGGTTAGCATTGCGCGTCGTGGTAATCGGTGTTCAGGCATACGCAACACGTGGCTCATCCATCTCAGTCGATGAAGATTCACAACCTAATCAACTGATTTACCATCATTCCTTAATACCCTGCGTCTAACCTCACTATTACTTACTCAGTGATCGCAGCAGATGCCAGCAATATTTCTAAGACATCTGTGATCAAGTACTAGTGACTTACGAGTATCTTCTACTCTTAACGACCACGTTTCGCAGCCGTAAAGTAGAACAGAACGAACTACCGCGCAGTATACTCGTCCATTAATTCATAGACGGATATCTCGCCTTCGTCGTAGGTGACGTAAGTTGGCGAAAGCCAAACGAGCATTCTGAATCCGTGGAGAGATTTCCTCAGACACCAACCCATTAGGGTTGATCAGACTTCCAAGATAATTGATGTTATCAACGCGTTCAACTACTTCCCTCCCTATCCTTTGTTTAAGTGTCGACGCAGGCGTTACCTCAGAAGTACATAAATCTTGAGAAGGCTCTTTACTCGAACAGTATCAATCAAATCAGAGCTTATGGCGAACTGTCATCTGATATTGCAACCTTAAATAGTGTCCGGAGAGGCCGTCCACTATGTCATTTCATTATAGACTTACTGATGGGAAAAATGTTCTCGTGGACTGAATTTTCGGGTATTGATCTCTGTAGAGAAGGTTCACATAGTCCTGTTTGGTGAAGACGCAGATAAAATACAGTCTTTTGATAGAACTGAGCAACAATACCTGGATATTTGAGATGTGTTTCTCTCCCTCTAAATGCAAGTTATGACTTCAGAACTGGCCTGCGTCGACACTTAAACAAAGGATAGGGAGGGAAGTAGTTGAACGCGTTGATAACATCAATTATCTTGGAAGTCTGATCAACCCTAATGGGTTGGTGTCTGAGGAAATCTCTCCACGGATTCAGAATGCTCGTTTGGCTTTCGCCAACTTACGTCACCTACGACGAAGGCGAGATATCCGTCTATGAATTAATGGACGAGTATACTGCGCGGTAGTTCGTTCTGTTCTACTTTACGGCTGCGAAACGTGGTCGTTAAGAGTAGAAGATACTCGTAAGTCACTAGTACTTGATCACAGATGTCTTAGAAATATTGCTGGCATCTGCTGCGATCACTGAGTAAGTAATAGTGAGGTTAGACGCAGGGTATTAAGGAATGATGGTAAATCAGTTGATTAGGTTGTGAATCTTCATCGACTGAGATGGATGAGCCACGTGTTGCGTATGCCTGAACACCGATTACCACGACGCGCAATACTGACTAGTGTTGGAGACGGATGGCCTGAGTCGTGCTAGTAGATTCAGACTACTTGATTGGGGTCCGCGTGACTATCGTAACCAATTGTTGGAGACTCTGGATGACATGGCTGAGAATCGATCATAATGGTGTTGGTGTATACACTTTTTGTTTCCCACTAAACCGTGAGATTAAAATTACTTAATACCTTTCTTTTTGAGAACTAATTCTTTCTCTCTGCATTATATCCTTATATGCTATCTTTATCTACATATATAGCTACTATAGACGTGACTGCTTCTATGAATTTGGTGTTGATCTTGTTGTACTAATGAAATAGAGGAACTTGGATCGATGCATATATATTCCTGGTCCTTCGTGGTAGCTGACTTTTTGAATCTGCTGTGTAATTAACAACAGAGTTAACATTTTCATTGATTGTTATAGTATTTTGTGTTGAAATTTTCTAGAGCTGTCGAGTATGTGTTATATGGCGGCGTAGCTCTGCTGTGCATTCCCATTTTAATTTTCCTGATAATATATCTTGGACTGTGTTTTGGCACTTGTGGTGATCGTCCCTATGAAGAGGCCGGTTTGTGTAATCGGGGTGTTGGCGCCAATTTTTTACTTGCGTAAGTTATATATATATATATATATATATATATATATATATATATATATATATATATATATATATATATATATACTCACGTTTGTTTTTTTTTTGTCCTGTTATATCATAGCAAGAAACATTTGTTTTGGGTGCTATTGATAAAAACTGAACTACTTTAAAGTGATGTGTTGATCCTTTTTTCAATACAGAAATTAAGTAATGTGTTAATATGAAATGACGAACTGGTGACAGGGAATAGTTTTTTCTGGTTAGCGTTTTTTTAGCTAATTAATGTTCTACGGGATTGAGTCGTTAACCCCATGCCTAACCCTTCTTTATCCGGGCTTGGGACCGGCAGTAGCCCTCTGAGGGACTACATGCGGAGCTGGGCACAGGAATATATGGAGGTTTTCCTTACAATTTTGACATCATAAAGTGTAAATCATGTTGATTTTTTGGAGAATTAGATGAAGTTTCCACTTTTATTCATGGTCAAAGATAATCATATAAATCCATCTGTTATCCTTTTCGTGACATTTAATTCCACAAGTGTTATAATGTCTTTAGTTGTGAAGCTATTTTGGGCATCAAATATCTTTTCACCACTGATTGTTTGGTTTAGAGAGCCTTGTATTTACCCATAGTTTAAGGTATAAGTTTTTGATCTTTTTCTCGGATTTTAATCAAGGTGTAACTATGTATCCACTTTTTCTGTTTGCATTAGTTTCGAAACATAGTTTTACTTTCACTCGGGTTAACGTTATTAACTTGAATCTCATAAACTGAAGTTCAGTAAGTGTGAAAACCAAGTGATAAACGATTCATCATTATATTTTTTCAATATTCATGGATACCTATGGAAACTTTGTTTTTGAATTGATTGAATCACTTCTTGCAATTAACTCCCAATGCTACCTTACTTTTCTTTCAGAGGTGTAGGATTCATGTTTCTTTTCTCAACTATTTTGATGGTCTCTTGCATGGTACCTTTTCTTGTTGGCGGAACTTTGCAAACTGAATTCTGTCGATATCTGACTGGTCGCTACCCAGATGGTCCCCGAAAAATGGACCAATATGTTTTTGAAAGTTTGAAATCAATTTTTCTTGCCGTTGAAGGGTCACTATCGAACTCGTCCAAATCTAGGACATTTCATGTTGATAAAAATGAACTAGAAGCTATCAGACCAACATTGGATATTATTCGTTTTAATCTGTCAGATGCTATTTTAACTCGATGTGAAAACGAACCATTCGTAGAAGCAATCAGTACAGGAGAGTTCGTTTCCCCTATACTTACTGATGTAAGTCGGCTTTTTCTTTCACATGAAAACAACTTTTTACATCATTTACAATTGTGATTTGTTTTTATTTAAGTGAAATATCTAAAACTTTTATTAGTTTCTTTGAATAAAAAACCGAGTTTTTATTAATACTGTATTTTTAACGTGTAGTCCTGATGTATTTTTTTATTGTAAAAATTGATCTGTAATTGTTTATAAATCTTGAAAACAACAAAGCACTACCTATGTGAGTCACCCAATTATTCGAAATAGTTAAAATGTGGAAATCAGTTTAGTGTTCCTGTACATCTCGCAACTGTAAAGTAATTGTACGTCTGTAGGTCGATATCTTCATATCTTCTAGTTGACTTCAACATCCAGTTGTTTGCGTAGTGTGAGAAATGAATTATTCAAATGTAGTTTTAGTCTTTCCTTTATTACTGTGCCTGCAGTTGAAATATTATTTATTCAACAAAGGCTGTTATCCATCCACTTTTAATTGTTCAACAAATGGGTGGTATCCATGACTTTCGGGCACTTTTTTATTCATTTAGTTTATGATCTTTGTATATAGGAATAAAATTTTCATTCGCGATTTCATTCCAAGCTCTAACTTTCGCTACATTTGTGTTTTTCATCCAGCATGTTGGAATGCGCTACACTAACGTATTCATAGCTGGCAGATGTTGGTAACGAACTTCAAATGCTTGAAATGAAGTTTAAAATGGAAATTACACTCTTTTATTCAGCAATCATCCATTAAATGAGCGATTAATTGCTTGAAAATGCTAGATATCTCATACGTATTTAACAGTGAATAACTGATGAACAGCTTCGACCATAATTAAGGTAGAAAGTGATTTGTTGATATAACTGCGACGATCATTTGGTTGTTATTTAACTGAAACAATCGCTGGCTGTCTATGTGATAGAAAATGTGTATAAATTTAGGGCAAAATAATAATAGAATCGATTCCCACGGTTTACAAGATTAATCACTTTATTTATGATACTTCGTATATTTGCAGTTGGATTGTCTGTTTAGTAAGAGTCAAATTAATTGAGTTACTGTACAGCAGTATAATTTTAGGTAATTCGTTGGAAAGTATCATTAGATTGTTTTTAATGTGTCTAACCGTACGTGCATAAAATTCCTTGTTTCTTTGTGGAGATTTATATGCACAACTCATAAGTCATTTGAAACACATTTCTTCGAAAGAGATCGATGATTTATTCGTTTGTATTCTATCTATGCACCACAGTAAAGAGTCATTTTGTTATAAACAAAGAAATATTTCAATCTTCTAAATACCTTGGTGTCTCATGGTGCACTTTTTTGTCTGTTACAAAAATAAATAATGAAATAAATAACGAAATACGTAGTGAATCATTTCGAATTCCATTTGCAAGATATCTGTTCAATTAAGCTCAGAGTTATTAAAATAACCCATAATGTCATTAAATAAGAAAAGGAAAATTCAGCTCACACAGTACAGGGTGAGCATATTTGTTAACTTGTAAATTAATTAGTATGTTGTAAAGTCCTAAATTAACTTGTCAGACTTATCTGACGTGGTTCATTGGAATTCCTCATCTTGGTTTCAACTTTTATTTGTTTCAAATTTACAACGTACATTAAAACATTCTTAGGTTTCATGTGATATTCAGTTAGTTTGTGTTTACAAATCTGTTATATCAATGTTTTGCATATTTTAGGCAGTTGACGGAATTTTACAAGGTCTCATCGAGTCATTTAAGAAGGTTGACATAGAGTCTCCTTTTCGCCGTACTATCGGGTCGTGTTTAGCAGCTTTGGAACGTCTCAAATTTCTTTCTGCTATTAATTTCAAGGAAGCTATCAACCAAGTTAGTTTAAAACTTTTGATAGTCTTTTGTTCATGCTTTCTTGTGTTCCTTCTGTTGTATTAGATATCTGGTACCTTTCCGGAGTAGGTCATATTGGAATAACTCATTACAACGAAAGATATCTTATCATCAGTATCATTTTGACACTTATTTTTATTCAGTATGATGTTTATAGCCTTGAGGAATTTGTTGAGAATATCAGTCTTCATGGAGCAAATACTTTTTCTGGATGTTTCATCCGTGTTCATAAACATTTATGTCAATTAAACATCTCGTTTATTTTGTAATTACAATTCCAGAAACAAACATGCACTTGCGACATTCAGTTTAAGTAAATGAGGATTTCTGAATAAGGGAATTATGTGTCTATTAAAGTTTTCCCTATTCAGTACTGCCTAAATCGTCTAACGATGCGTCTTGGAAAATGTAGAGGGAGGACTTTTGGGAAATTTAACACACTCAATTCTGTTTATTATCTTTCAAGATAACAAAGGAAACATTGTGGAGATGTTATCTTCGATCAACAAAGCTACTAACTCTCCTATAAAACAGTACATTAGTAAAACTTAAATAATGTTTTATAGACAGTCCGACACGAAAATATGGAGTGAATGTAATGCCCCTCGCTCTTATGTACTTTTTCCTGCTGGAGCACTTATAAAACTCATTATTCCCACCTCTGAATATGTTGGCAAGGTAGTTTTTTAACCTATAAGCATGGAATGGAAAGTTAGAGATTGTTAATGGATTTTATGTTTCTAGTGTGTTAATGTCTCAAACAACTGATGAACATACATACTGATTTACGTTAATGTACATACGATTATAAACTGACAACACTCATTTTTCTAAAGAAAATTCTCATCGTATTGTTGATATTTAAAAGCTGATATCACATTTAAGTTCTTTGATGTTTGAAACTAGCTATTCATCTACAGCGAATAACATAAATAATACTTTGAACGAGAAAGTGAAAATAAGAAGTGATTAGTAGCGATATTTCGCATTAATGTATGTTTGTTGTTCTAACATAGATTATAAATTAACTTTTCCAAAAAGTGCTTTCTAATGATGTATTTTCAATTGGGTTTCATATGTGTTATTTTGTTATGTTGAAACAAAATATGCCGTAACCGTCTTCAAAATGTTTATTTTGAAGTTTTTAGTGCTGTTCATCTTTTCCCAAAGACTTTAATCGTTTGGCGAATCGTATGTCTATTAACAGTTCTTATGGCTCTTAAATCACAGTCAAGTAGTTACATATTATAAATCCATAAATAAGTCGTTAAAAGCATTAATTTTTACGTACAGCGTACTAATGAAAATGTTCATAACAATAGTGAGCAGCTTCATTTCTGATTGCTCTATTGACGTACAATAATCTATTTCTTTTCAAACCACTTGGTCATATTTTTTGTTGTTCACCATAAAGTCTCTAACTTCTGTTCTGAGCCATGTTGGTTCTCATGGACTGAATTTCCGGGTATTGATCTCTGTAGAGAAGGTTCACATAGTCCTGTTTGGTGAAGACGCAGATAAAATACAGTCTTTTGATAGAACTGAGCAACAATACCTGGATATTTGAGATGTGTTTCTCTCCCTCTAAATGCAAGTTATGACTTCAGAACTGGCCTGCGTCGACACTTAAACAAAGGATAGGGAGGGAAGTAGTTGAACGCGTTGATAACATCAATTATCTTGGAAGTCTGATCAACCCTATTGGGTTGGTGTCTGAGGAAATCTCTCCACGGATTCAGAATGCTCGTTTGGCTTTCGCCAACTTACGTCACCTACGACGAAGGCGAGATATCCGTCTATGAATTAATGGACGAGTATACTGCGCGGTAGTTCGTTCTGTTCTACTTTACGGCTGCGAAACGTGGTCGTTAAGAGTAGAAGATACTCGTAAGTCACTAGTACTTGATCACAGATGTCTTAGAAATATTGCTGGCATCTGCTGCGATCACTGAGTAAGTAATAGTGAGGTTAGACGCAGGGTATTAAGGAATGATGGTAAATCAGTTGATTAGGTTGTGAATCTTCATCGACTGAGATGGATGAGCCACGTGTTGCGTATGCCTGAACACCGATTACCACGACGCGCAATGCTAACCGGTGTTACGGATGATTGGAAGGAAGTTAGGGGCGGCCAAACCAAAACGTGGCATCAGTGCTTGAAGTCACTAACTTCTAGTCTGAGCCATGTTGGTAGATGCAGACTACTTGATTGGGGTCCGCGTGACTATCGTAACCAATTGTTGGAGACTCTGGATGACATGGCTGAGAATCGATCATAATGGTGTTGGTGTATACACTTTTTGTTTCCCACTAAACCGTGAGATTAAAATTACTTAATACCTTTCTTTTTGAGAACTAATTCTTTCTCTCTGCATTATATCCTTATATGCTATCTTTATCTACATATATAGCTACTATAGACGTGACTGCTTCTATGAATTTGGTGTTGATCTTGTTGTACTAATGAAATAGAGGAACTTGGATCGATGCATATATATTCCTGGTACTACGTTGTAAATGGCTGGATTTTTGCTGTCCTAGTGTAACTTATACCCTGAATGCAGTCATTGAACTGAATATTTGATTATCTCTTTGGTTTAATCATTGGTACTTTTCTTCAAAGTATTCATAATTTCTTTTATTATCACGGAAGCAATATCATCTTCATTTTCCAATCGATCGCAAGAACTGATATGATTTTATGCTCGAAACCTCCTTCCCTTCCCTCTTATAACTACGATGACTGTGGGAAAACTTTAATTTCTGTGATTATGTAACGGGAGTAGTGAATAGGTGCGAATAAAGGAGGGATCTGATTTCAATATTGAATGAGCTATGAGTGAAATACTTTGAGACGGTTATAAGTTTCGTACTTCTTGAGTTGTTGTTATAGTTCTGTCTTACGGTTATAACCCAGCAATTCCTATTGCTTAGTATCCTCGGACACCAATTCACTCGACAAGTCCCCAAACCAGAACACAGTTGAACAGGAAATAGATTATATTCCAAATAACAAGATTAGATGGAAGTAAGAAGCGCAATACGAAAAACATTAGTATATTTATTGTTTTTACATGAGATTTCTAGAGTATTCTCCAAGTATCTACTAGCGCTAATTGGGCAAGAATTGGCCATTCAGCGTGCACCAAAGCAATCGTGCATTGAGCATGCTATCATCCAATCTATGTCCCACTAGCAGTTGTTCATCAATTTTTATGAAGCACTCAGTTTCATAGTTATAAATGGTTCGTTCTATTGTTCCAGTTATGAATTTACAACTTTGTTTCCACTGTTTATGACTATGTTTTCACTTAGGTTTATTATGATTATTAGGATTACTATTTTCACATCATTTCTTTCTCTTAAACTGCTATCTTTCATTTGAAAAACTTAAAAAAAACTCAAAACATAATCATGATTTTCCTCACAATATGTGTTTATATTTGTATAATAGGTTAATACTCCACTAACTTTTATTGACCATCTCGGTGAATTTGTGTCTAGATTGAAGGCTTTAAATATGGTGAGTCTTGTTCATATTCGTATTACTTTTATATTTTCCATGTCAATTAGGTATTTATAATTAGATATTTTCACTTATGTAAAAGTTTCTAATTACATTGCCTTTTTGTATTGTGATGCTGTTTTATGACTTATAGTCACTCACTGATAACATGGCGTATACTGAAGATTGTTTCTATGCATTCTGACAAAGTAGTCTATTGGTTTACAATATCTTTAAAGAGTAGAAAAACGACAACAGCATTAGTAAATATAAAACTCTGAATTGATTTATATTCGCCTCAGTTACTGCGTGATTGCAGATCCAACAGTTTACATTTTAAGAAATAATTTGGTTTTATGGATCTTGAAGAATCCCATATTCAATGACTAAATATAAGTCCCTCCACTATATGAATATGTAACGTCGATTTCATACATACGTCTGTTATTAGTTCTTAAATGTTATACTTCCGCAATTATTTCGCATCGATGTAACAAGGTTCTTGTTGATGTGTCAACATTACATAAACGTTATTTCAGAGATAATATTTTCATGTGATGACTCAAGGGCTGGTCTTCTACCCCGAGATTCGTCTATTGACTCGGGATACATGACGTATTGAACATCCAATGTAGGTTCCTTACGTAGGCCATGGTTATTGTATCATAGTTGTCTTTCAAGTCATTGTGTTGCCTACATGTTATGTATCTGTTATTGTCTTACTAGTAAACTTCTCTGTTTTTTTTCTTTGAAAATATAAAGGACTCTTTAGCTCCACATATTCAAGCTCTTGTGAATGGACCTGTAAAATTAGATGCCTATCGTGGTAACATTCACACCTTGTTTGTGCGATTCAACGGTTTACCGGATCAAATGAATCTTGCAATTATCAATCTTAATAGATACAATCAAACGTTATCTACTTCTGTCCAGTCTGTAAGTGTAGTTTATGCACACACAAAAACATTTTTCGCTTCATTTTCATTTATTTACTTATTCATATTCATACCAATAGATACTAAGAAAAAACATTTGTTTGACTTAGTAGTCACATTGACTTAAAGAGAAACAGTCCCACTTACTGTTCAAACAACGCTAACTGAATAGTGTGTCTCGTAGATTTATTGGTTGACTAAGTCAAAGATTGAGGTGTAATTTCAACATCAAGAAAGTTGGTACTATTATATGAAATCACTTATTCAAATATTATTTTCAATGCTATACAACACATCATGTGGTCATGGTAGTATTTAACCTTGATTAAAAATTATAATGTTAATAATTTACAATGATATTTAAAAGTATTAAAATTAGTTTATGTACTAAATCTAACACTATGTAAGTTCTTTCGATGGGACATTAATAGTTAGGTATAGATTATCAATCAATGCGAATTAGCTAGTATTAAAGATAGAGAGGATTGCATTTAATCATATTCAGAAGATTGTTATTATGAAAGTGATTATTAGTTTATTATAACATTTTTTTAATCGATTAAAAGATAATCCACCTACATTGGCATTTTAACGTCTAGATTGTTTGAAGAATGAATTTTAAAAAAATAGTTTATTTTCAGTTGTGTCTAACGTATTTTAACCATCGATTTATACAATCACATTTTCTTCTTGTGTACACTTGAAAGGTAGATATTTTTTTCATTTTAATTTAAACTATTTTGATCGGTTTTTCATTACGGATAGATATTAACTTATTCACTAATACATACATAATCGTTGTCATTCAAACACGGTTACTGGTGAAAATATGTCATTGAGTCTATTTTGACTTTTTTTGTTTATTATTGTTGTTGTCAAAGTATGTTAGAGATAAAGTGTAAAAAGTGTTCATACATATATAGATCGAATTAGGTGTAAGCAAATAATCAATTATGAACAGCTACTTACCTACTTACTTACTTACTTACGCCTGTTACTCCTCGTGAAGGAGCATAGGCCGCTCACCAGCATTCTCCATCCAACCCTGTCCTGGGCAATCCTTTCAAGCTCTTTCCAGTTCTTATTCATCCTTTTCATATCTGCTTCTATTTCCCGACGTAATGTGTTCTTTGGGCTTCCTCTTTTCCGCTTCCCTTCAGGATTCATAGTTAGCGCTTGTCTCGTAATGCAGTTTGATGATTTCCTCAATGTATGTCCTATCCATTTCCATCGTCTTTTCCTAATTTCCTCTTCAGCTGGAAGCTGGTTGGTTCTCTCCCACAAAAGGCTGTTGCTGATGGTATCCGGCCAATGGATGTTGAGTATCATGCGTAGACAGCTATTAATAAATACCTGTACCTTCTTGATGATGGTTGTTGTAGTTCTCCAAGTTTCAGCTCCGTACAGTAGAACTGACTGCCTTGACGTTCGTATTGAAGATTCTGACTTTGATATTGGTTGAGAGAAAGTTGTTTTGAGTTCCATATGTTCTTCAGTTGAAGGAATGCCGCTCTAGCTTTGACAATCCTCGCCTTGACGTCTGCATCTGAACCTCCTTGTTTATCGACGATGCTTCCCAGGTATGTGAAGGATTCTACATCTTCCAGATTTTCGCCATCAAGAGTGATTGGATTGCTGTTCTCCGTGTTGTGTTTGAGGACCTTGGTTTTCCCTTTGTGTATGTTGAGGCCTACTGATGCAGAGACTGCTGCTACTCTGGCTATCTTTATCTGCATTTGTTCGTGTGTATGTGATAGGAGGGCTAGGTCATGAACAGCTAACCATTGTTTAATTACTGGTGTGTTCTGAATTTTCTAGTAATTCAGATAAATAAATTTAGTAATATATATACTACTGATTTATGACGAGATACGATCATGTTTAGTGTGTCATTATGCATTATTCATGCGACTAGTTTACATTATATGAGTCGATTTTGTCTGTATATTATTTTTGTGGCATTTCAATAGCACAGTGATAATGATCATCATCATAATGCTCAACTGTTTACTTTTGTTTGTATAGATCCTAACAATCAAACAATATTTACTTACTGGTTTACAATTGTTTATTACATTTTGTCAATGTTTTCTGTTTTGTGCATATCAGTCAGTCAACCATGATATTTATATAATACCATAATTTTTATAACATTTGCCCGTTTGATACCAGTCAATGTTAACATTTACAGACTAACTGTATTTCATGGTAGCGAACTAGAAAACAAGACAAACAAATGTATTGAAATTATTTAGCTCACTACTAATCCGTTAATTTTTCATGCATTTTTTTAAAAAAACGCCTTATTTTTTCAGTCTATGAATCGTGGAGTTAACAAATTTCATCCACTTTTAACTAAAGAATTACAATTGGCTGTTATAGCCACTTGGCATAATATCCCGTGTCAGTCACTTCGTTTAGCTGCCAAACGTGGAGTCGATTCAGTTTGTTATACATTTTTAATGCCATTTGTAAGTGTACATTTATCTGTGTATTTCAGAGTGATCGTTTGTATTGGTACCCTATTCATCTAATGAGTGTATATATTTCAGTGTTTATTATCCTTTATATTTGTGTGTATATTGCCTTGGTTATAACTGAGACTATTACTATCCACAATAATTAAGTTCATAAATATGGCTGTCCTGAAAAATAAACACATCGTTGTCTAACTATTATCAGATTAGTCCACTTCTTAGTGCTGGTTGATTTCTTTCGATCGTATTGGTCCAATTAGCCTAATTAATTCAACATCACAATAATGTACTTTTATTCAGATTTCCTTCAACAGTCACTATTTTTTATGTGCAAATATGTGTAGATCTTTTGTTACAGGAAATACATATTTGTTTTCTTATCTTTGATTCTTCAGAATGCATTTTGGACTGGATTAGGATTTACACTACTTCTTTTCATTCCCGCTATTATTTTCGCTGTTAAACTGGCTGGTTTATATCGCAAAACAGAAAAATATAGTCGCGATTACGAAGAACCGTGAGTATATATATATATATATATATATATATATATCTGTTTTTCACTTTGACATACCACAAAATTATATTCTTATTATATTACAATTTTTTCATGCACATACTTCCCTTTATTGTTTTAAAGACAGCAAAAACAAAGATCGGTGCAGAATAATATGAGTTAATATTTTTCGTTAAGTTCTTATCAGCTACTTACAACCTATAATATTTTAAAATCAGATATTGATGTACTTACAAATACGAAGGTGTGTAGAGATGAATATGTGTATCATGATGTTGCGAGAATTCCAATGGAGTTAATAAGGTCATGAGAATTTTTGTTTGGGATAAAAAATTTGAGAGGAAAAATTCTAGAACATTGAACTACAGATCAAAACTCATCAAGTCAACAGATATTAGATAATTGTGTATTGATGTAACTGAATATAGACTAACTTTATTTATCAATCCGAAACAAAAAAAATTTCATGACCTAATTATTAACGCCATTGGAATTCTTGCAACATCATGATACACATATTCATCTCTAGTCACCTTCGTACATGTAAGTATGTCAATATCTGGTTTTAAAATATTGTAGGTTGTAAGTAGCTGATGAGAACTTAACGAAAAAAGATGAACTCATATTATTCTGCACCAATCTTCGATCTTACTCTCTTTAGTTTTTTTTACTTTTTACATGTATGCATTTCCTAAATAGCACTGTAAGTGTCAAAGCATTACAAATTTTTGTTAGCACAAATAATGTATTATTTCTAGCTGTTCATTTATTATTTATAAATAAATTCGTGTATCTTTCTCCCATATATTTTTATGTCATAATTTGTGCATCTGTTCGTATTGTCTAATTTACATTGTTATGGTTAAAATACCAATTAGCTACTTAGACCAAAATAAATAACATTAAAGAAACGAAGCAGGCAAGAGTCATACATCATATTTTTCTTTGGCACTCGAACATATTAAAATAATAATATTCGCTCTTTTTAACATTTAGTAACGTCAAGATTGTCAGTTTAAGTAGTAGTGTGTGTTATTGATTATTGAGTAATTAATAAATGAAAATTATTTAAATGACTTAGCTTCTTCAGATTGGCTTATTGAGATAAGGTGTTGCAAACAATGCAATGGTTAGGTCCGATTCGGCACAGTCATCTAGCTAATAATTAATAATCAATTTATATCATTATGTTACAGATGGTGTAACTCATTAAATACAACTGAAAAAATAGTTATTTTCCAAAATGTTTATACATCTATTTTACTTAAAATAATTTTTAGTGTAGTTGCAACGTTTCATTTACCTAATAGTTTCTCGTCAATATAAATAGATGCATTAAGAATGTGATAAGTTGTTTATAAATCTTAATAGATATTTCCTTCATTATTTGACCTTAAGGTTGGCAGAATCGTGAGTCAATATGAGCGTATAGATTTTGATTTGACCTATACCTTATTTACACGAGCTACCAATGTAGGATGTCATTAAATCTATATGATACTTTCACATTTTTAGCTACATTTATATTATATAGGCTTGTTTCACTCTATTAACGTAGTTGTAATGATTATTATACAAATGAATAAACAGGGTGGAATTAGTGGAGCAATGTCTCATTAGTTGAAGCGTTTGTAATCTAGATACTATTTTAATTAGGCTAAATAGCCGTTACATTTAGAGTATCGTTTTTAACTGAATACATTAATCTATACCTGGTAAAGCAGCATAATTTGCACTAAATTCTTGGATTACAATAGTTAATAGGCACAAACTTCCCAAATAGGACAAAACGCGCGTCCTGAATTCCACTGCTAGTCACCATCATTTCAACTCATATATGTAATAGTATTGTAGAGTTATTTTCTGTAAGCGTTTTACACATTAAGTATAGTTACTAGATAAATTTGTGGTATATCTCTATCAACGCTCTTTTTGTTCAATTTATGTATCATATGTGCTATAACAAGTTCAATGTCTTTCATTTAGGCTAGTCATATGTGTATTTATTGTACTATGCATTTGTTTAATATCAGTTTTCATTAAACACGTATCTATTAAAATTTGCAAGATGAAAATTTTACTGTAAATTCTTAAAACAATCATTTTATAGATAATCAGTAATTTAGAGATAGAGAGAAAGCAAATGATAGTTAAATTTTTATGTAATTGAAATTCATTCCCATTTTAATTCGTTTATCATCGTTTCAATAAATTGTTTCTGTAATTGCAAATATTTACCATACACATTACTCTCATTGTCTTTTTATCTATTTATTTACTTTCAGGGATTACATATCATATCATGGCTTCTATATGAGACCACCAACAGATTATCAGGACAATTCACAGTAAGTTACTTATCTTATGCTATCTCAAATTGAAATACTCGCGTATATATATATATATATATATATATATATATATATATATATATCTGTTGTAGAGATTGATGATCACAGCAATAAAAGTGGCATTTATAACTAATAAAAAAGTGTATTAGGTTGTGTATTAGTTTTATGCATTTTAAGAAGTTATATTTCCGGATTGTGCTACATTATAGACTATATAGTTTCATTAATGTTTGGAATTACCTTTTTCATATAATATTCATACCTTTATATCAAGTTCATTTGATAGTTAATGTTTTTTTGTTTTTAATAAATACAGAGGGATTAGTGATAATTTATATGGCTCTTTTCGAATTACATTTATGATAATATATCGTAGTCAAGCAACTTGTACCTCGCTAAAGCTACAATTTTTGGGGACTTGCATAGAAATGAAATGATATTTCAGTATATCTTTAATTCATGTTTAAGTTTTTAATCTTTTGATGAATTTTATGACTTGCAATATTTAAAATAATTGTTCTTAGATTAAATTCATTTATTATTTTTTGTTAGACTCTGTTATTTGAAGACGTTCTGCGGTGTATAAATCATCGTACCAAAGGCAATTTATTGGGATGTTCATATTTAGATCACAGCTTGTCGTTAACTTTGATCTGAACCATCTGCGTTAATTAATATGCTTTAAGGCTGACACTGTCTCCATTCTTGTTGCCTCTAGGTGTAATCCTTTGTTTATCTAACTTATTTAAAAATCCCATCAACTGGGAAATACACAAGCGATATAGTTAGTCAGTCTCAACATACAACCCGGTATGTGTTTACATTAGTTCAAACTGTCATGCCTCATCAGCACAGCTAAATTAAATTGTTAGGGGAAATCCCAGAACAGTTAAGTTAGTAACAGCATCAGTAATAATAGATAAGATCAAACAACGAAGATACGATTCGATCAAATATAAATTAGTGAAACAAAAGAAATTATGAGGAATTCAGGAGCGTAGAATTCGGAGGAAGACAAATAATGAATGCACCCGCACCATTCCAAACGATATTTAACAATAATCGCGTGCACCTCAACCAGGTAGTCTACACCTATTATCATGGCTCAGTCTAACCGTCTATGTTTTGGTTTGGCCGCCCCTAATATTTTTTCAAACTACTCGCGAACCAGAAAACATCGCCCGTCGAGGTAGGTGGACATGTGTAATTCATAGTTGTCCTTGATAATTCCACTGATAAGATACGATTTCATGCTAACGCCTCACGATGCAAGAATATTTATGAGTCATTTCTCGTCCTTCGACTGTGAATTGTTTCCACAAGGCTTATATACGTTATGTAGTTATCAGTAGTAGTTAAGTGTGTCATGTTTTTAGCTCATGTTTAGGTTCCCATAAATTCTAGCAGTTAACGAAATCTTTTTACGATTACAAAAACTTTTTTATGCTTACCCCATTTTGGCGCAAACAAAATGTTGGTCTACCTATGTATCAACCCGTTTTATATGATTTCTTAATAATGAAACAACCGTTAATTGTTAGTATTTGATAATGAATTTTTACAAAACATTTCTCGTGATTTATATAATCAACTAGGTAACAGTAGGCATACTAAATGTATAGAGTAATAGCTAAAGATAGGAAGTAGTTTAGTTGGATAGTGTAGTGTAATCAACTGTTGTGATTATGACATACCGATTAATCTTTTACTTCTTTTTAGTCAGTTTGTGAATTCACTGACTGTTGAACTAATGTATGTCACCAAGGCTATATTTTTCTGTATAGGATTCACTGTTTAATTATAATCTGTAATTGGAGGTTACAGATGACCTGGCTAAAAATTGCTACCGATTTCATTCGTCCTTTATCTTCATCTAAATCTTGAGCCTTGTTCCTTATTTTTATTCTTTAATTAATTTTTTTCTCCTGATGCATATGATTTTCAACTCGCTAATCATCGTGATATTTTCACCTTTTTTGCTGGTATATTTATTTCACTATGATGTTGCAGCATAAACGACCGATCTGCACTTGTAGCAGGTCTATCCTGCTTGTCAAACTTTAGTCGTTAAGTTTTGATGCCTTGGCAAGCAACATTTTATGTTTTACTGTTTCAATAAACTAACAGTATAATAGGCGGTGCTGGGTGGGGTAAATGTTCGAACCGAGTATATGTCACTGAACTTGAATATGGTGCTGACAAAAATTTCTGTTTTATTCTTTCGGCGCTGTATATTAATTTTGTTAAAATGTCTTTTAAATAGTTGTCTTTTTTTAATCTGTCCCATGTACTAATTACTGACTTACCAAACAGACTCACAAAATATGTATATCTTCTATCAGTAGGAATGAACTTTTCATCTTTCAGAAAAGTGAAAGTCAAGGACAAAGAGATTGTGTGAGGGAGGAAAAAAAGTAATTTCATAAACTACGTTTGCTTGATTTTCTTATTCATCGTTGGGATTTTTGATTATCTGAAGTCTTTTTTTCAGAAAAACCTTTCATTTCAATGTGAAAAGGTTTAATATTGAATACTACAAATATATTAGAGTAAAAATGAATGAATAATCTTGTTGTAGTCATTTGTTTCGTTGCTATTGTTATCCTCATTGTCGTTCTTTCTTCCAATGTTTTTTAAATCAATTTCTGCCAACAGCCCAGCTGTGTAACATTATTCTTTAGGAATTTATGATTTTCATATTGTTCATATATTCTGTCCATAGGTTTTCTTTGCTGACATTTATAACACGAACATATAATAATAGTAGTTAAGTGTTATTTAATATCTCATCATCAATTGTACTGATTTATTGTTGATACCCTTGAAAGAATTTGTATTCGAGCTTTTGCCACAATAAATATTATATCTCCGGATAAAATCTACTTTACTACCTGAAGCAAATAATTTCAACATTGAGTACAAAAATGATATAGTTTATTTGTGAAATCGAACCCGAATTTCTAATCAGTGTTTGTATGTTTGGTGCAGCACTAACTAAATGCAAATTACTTCTCTTAAACTGGCAGGTTCTAACATTCATTTTATTCGGTTAGTTGTTGAAAATAGTCAAGGTGTGCATGTGTCTGTACAAGTGGTGGTGGTTGTACTATAGACAAGGTCAGTCTACATGCCACTCTAGACCACGTTTTGCAAATTTTATCTCAGCCGCTCCCCTGTTGTTATTACTTTGCCCCTGTCAATTATCACGTGATAAAATCGCCAATCAGAATACCAACTTGTATATCCGTATGCTAAACTGGTGATACGTCAACCAGCACTAAATCCCTATTGGTCCTCGAAATAGTAGTTTCTCGCTTAGCCCTGCCCGTTGAGTCCAGAACACAATCTCAGCCTCCATTGTATGAATCGTATATTTCAGACATACTTGGTTTATATACAGGCAGACTAGACCGCATCAAACCATAAAATGCAAATTAGGATTGAGCCAAAAGCGGCTGTATAAGAGACTGTAGCTAATAAATTGGGAATAAATTAAGAATGGCAAATCGTGTAACAGTAGCCAATCGATCATTTGAAAACTTATAATAAGAGGAAAATGAGTATATGTATAATCTAGTTACTTAATAGTCATCCGATAAGAATATATGTAATAATAGTCCCTAAATAATCAGCAGTTACCGTTCATTATTTCTTCGTTCGGATATAACACTTACTATGAATTATTTTCCCACATTAGGCTGTTGTGGTAAAAGTGAATAGATGACCATTTTGTGACATGGAACTTGATATGTAAAATAATTTTAGAATCGACGTGTCCGCCCGTCATGACTTCTGTATATCAACGAGTTTCATTTAAGCTGTTCAGCTTTGTGTTATAAATAAATAGACCTGTTGTATCTTAAACTTATTCTGACGTCTATAGTTGACATTGTTTATTACGGTAACGTCACGTGTCTATATGTCACGTTAGTTATTACTACCAGTTAACCTGAAAATAACATTTCAGCTGAACGTGAAAATATTTTAACATTAAAAGTAACATGCTAAAAATTTATTGATTTGTATTCTCTGTTCGTCTGTTTGTCTATCCATAGCTACTTGTTTATTGACGTTTATACTTTATTTACCAATTTAGTCAATACTATCAGTTTAGTGTGTATGTATGTGTATGCATGCTACAGATGAAGTTATAAAGTCAATGAGATACTCCTTGATTCATTATTTCTGTTATTATTATGCTCATTTTTGACTTGGTCTTTGTCTTATTATTCATTATTTAATTAAAGATAAGGTAATACTTATACGCATATTGAATCATCAATATATATATATATATATATATATATATATATATATATATATATATATATTGCGAATTGACAATTCTTCAATATTTTTTTTATCAATACTATTATTGTTATTATCATTGTGATCGTTATTTTAATCACTATTATTCCTATTTTCAATAAAGGAAACCCCGAAACAAATCTCGTAAACATAAAGGTATGAATGAGTCATTAATTTCTCTTCTCTTTTTCCCCGTATTTTGATCTATAGTATACACACTGTTTTCTATTGCATGCTGTCAACTCGGGAATGTCCCGTCTTTAATTTGCTTTACATAAATGTATATCAATGTTTGTTATATATGTGTCCAGTGTAGACATATTTACACATGTATGTGAATGTTGTTTTTCGTTATTCTTGTTATACTATCTTACTACTTTAACCAACTGTCATTGATTTTCATTTTAAGCTTATCACTTTTCCAATATGGTTGTTTTTAAAGCATTTAGTTGTTTTGGTTGTTTTTCCCAAAACTATACTGATATGATTTTCGTTCAATATACGTTATACTTGTAGATGATGAGGGGGAGTGGGTTGGACATAGTAAAAGATTTGGTAATGTCGACTATGATTGTGCTGGTTTCTCACTATTCACTTTTGCTCACACCTATATTTTTTTAATTTTTGTATCCAGTGCAGTTTAATTGTTATTTATAAATCTGTTACCGATAAAATTGTTAGTATTTGTGTATATCAACATTTCTATGTATCAATCACGCGTATATTTATGTTTTCAAGCTAAAAAAGACAAAATTCTGTCCAGCTAAGTTAATTAATAGTTGTAGATCGAGACACACACGGTAAACACAAAATCGATTCAATATTTTCTAGTCATTCTGGCTCAGGTTCAAATATTTCTTCATCTACTTCATTTTGATCAATTTTGTAGTATGTTCCTAATATTTATGGTAAAAGTGTATTAATTGCATACTAATAATATTCTAGTCAACTGACATATTATAATACTTTTTTCTTGTTCTGTAATTAAATTACCTATCTGATATACAATACATCTTCAAAGAAATTTTATAGGGTTACATAATTTAATTCATATCACTGTGTATTTTTCTTTGGGTTTTATTTCATTTATCTGTGATTTCAAATATGATTGTATGTTGTTTTAGTTAATGAAGAAAACTCTCATCATAACATGCGTTTAGATACTGAATCACGTATGTTGTAAATGTTATTCTTCCTTAAAGTATACTATTGATTTGTATTATTAGTTTAAAAGGATTACATTCGATAAGTTCATCATCTTGTGAAATAAAACGTTCTATGTTCTGTGGGAAATATTAAAAATAATAATGACATTTGGAAAACGAATATAGTTAGGAAGTCAATAAGAAATAATGTGAATATGTTCAATAGTTAGTCTTCGTCTTAGTAGTAGCAGTAGTATTTAATACCTTAATAATTTTGTTTCCTTTCACACTCCATACCAACCATAACGCCCTTGCATTTGCTGTGTTAATAACGACACATCTTCAGTTACACACTTGTTTAATGTCAATAAGATATCAACATTTTTGGTTGCCCTACAGCAAATTCTGTTTATGAATAATTAAGGATTTTTGTTATACGAATCAAAGAATATGTGCTCGAATAAATCGAATGTCTGTCACACAACAACATGTCAACATTAATTATCCACAGGCTTATAGAAGAAATGGAACTTTCAGGTAAACTTTATGTTCCGTGCAGATGTAAAATTCAAAATGGAACAACTCAACAACCTTGAGGTACTTAACAAACCAAACTAGACAATCAATCAGGTAGCAACAAATCTTATTGTGGAAATATACATTAGTCGAATTTCATAGTGGTTATCCTTTAAAAAAGAACTAACATATAATAATAGAAAACTAGATAATCTGATCTCTTTTTGGTAACACTTGACTAATACTCACTAAAAGAATGTATCACTATCACAACTTTATTCACTCTTCAATTGGTATATCTTTTATGATATCAGTTATTTCCTTCCTAACTTATTGACGATCAGTTAGTGTCTTACTTACCACCTTTGTCTAATAACTTCTCATTTATAAAGTATTAATAGTTGTCGAAACTTAGTATTCAAGCGTCTGTTTGTTTAGTTAGCTCCAAGCTATAATATTTTGTTTAAGCGTTAATATTACTTCTAGGTTGCCGAATCTGGGAAGGGTTTTAACTGTCAACTTCGTTGTTGTTAGTTAAGTGGGTTAATCAACACATAAATTTCATCTTGTCATTAAAGTCTTGAAGTACGTGCTGATATAAATTCAGTTAAGGCGATGCAGCCTAGATTTCCAGATAATTATTCGATTTAATCTCTAACACCTTTTAATATAATCCCTCAGTCGTGTTTGCAGCATGTTCAACTGATCAGCCTCAACAAGGCATCAAACAAGATTAGGAGAACCACTGACAGTCTCAGTTGCAGCACAAAAGTAATTTCGGTGCAAATTACCTTTACACTTCAAGTCACGTGAAACATTTTATGCCTTAAGCAAGAGGAGAAAGTAAAATGGTTTATTCGTGTTCAATCTGTAATTATAGGGTGACCAAATGATTTGAACCTAATGTGAATAGTGCAGCTGCGTAGACTAACAAAACAGAAAAATTATTTCAGTGAAATGTGGAGGATTATATGAAGTAACACAAACGTATCACCGTTTTACCAGCGTTAGGATCGAAGGATCCCAAATCATTTTGTCGGGGATAGGTCATAGGTGGGACAAGAATTAAGTCCTACACTGAGGTTCTAATTCAGTTGACTTTCTTCAGTGTGCTCTGACATATAATTATGTTTATTATTATTAGCTTTATTCAACATTATGTTTTTGGTGCAATATAGAATTCTCTGCACAAAGTGTTCCAACAGGTTTCTGTTTCTTACTTCTTGGCCGATACTGACGATAAATATTGAGTGATCGCCAGTTAGGTGTTAGTAGTCCAGTAAATCGACATCGAAGTAATCTACATTCCTTTTGCTGCATATCTCTGATTGGGCCTTTTGTAACTTGTACAACGAAAGGTTGTTCACTTTTCATAAACGCACCTGAATAGGTTATGCGAATAATAGACATAATGATGTATTTGTTATAACTTGTGCCCTCTTAAGTTACAACGTAATTATACCACCGATTAGAGAACAGTAATGACTCGTAAATCCGAACGAGCAGTCTAGAGTCCTTCTTCCTGCTTATTAAGTCCAGAACGCCAATCTTAGCCTCTGTAGTATGAATCATGTATTTCAAACATACTGGGTTTATATGCAAACGAAACACCACATCGTACCATAAGATAGGAAACAACATTTGTACAAGATCTAACCAAAAGTGGCTGTAAATATTGGGAGACTGTAATTAACAGTACGGGTAAAACTCATGAACGGCAAGTCGTGTAATAATAGTACATAGGTTAAAATAAAGCTTATAATATACATAGTTTAGCCATTTAACAATCATACAGTAAAAATATGTATCGTATTGGTCCGTATATGGTTCCCAAAAGTTACCATAATTCTCGTCGGGATATAACAGTGTTAAGGCAAACAAAAATAGGAAACTTGTTGATATATCTAGATGGCAGGAACCGGTAGTCCTTTTCTGTTAATGTCGTGTGTATAAACATGTAATTTCACCAAATAGAATGCCTATTCTGCGGGCTAGTGTTTTTTTCTGATAACAACTCATTGCGAGCTCACATCGATAATTCTGTTGTGTGAGCAGCTATCACTGCATTTCATTTATCGGTCGATATTCTTCTCACTCATTTTATCAACTATGACCATCGTGCTCTTGCTTATTCCTGTTTTATAACCTAACTCACAACAGTAAATTATAGTTGTTGTATGTTCAGTTTTTTGATAAATTTGCTTTCTTACTCAGATTAACATATTTTCCTAGATACATGAAAGTAACTGGAACAGGTTTTATCGAGTTCTATCAAAACAACTTGTAGTAACTTCCAGGTTTCTGAAAGGCTCCACACAATCTCGTTAGTATCTTTGTGTATTAAGTTAGTTTTTGAAAAGCCTAAATTAAAATTTGAATTTGATTGACAATCAATTTCTACCCATAAACAAGAAGTCTTCAGATTTCTTTCATCCTTGTCTTATTTTTCAATATCCATCGTCATGAGCTGCATATATATTCATATTACTTTCCAATAATTTTGTTTGTTTGTATGCGTGTGTATGGATGCATTTAACAGTTGAATAAGGATGTTACTTGTTTATGGATGCTTTGGTTTTTTGGTAATATAACATTTCCATTGAATTTCTAATTTATTAACCAACTCTATTTCTCTCTACTGTAATCCTTCAATATTCTCTCTCTCTCTCTCTCTCTCTCTATATATATATATATATATATATATATATATATATATATATATATATATATAATTCTAATGTTGCTACTTATGTTCTCGTCATCTCACCTATTTCAATCTTTTACGCACCAACTGTTCACTCCGTATTTTTTGCACTAACCCACTGGCATATCTGTGTTCTCTTTTATTTTCCTTCAAGTTGCTTCTGCATTATGTTATCACTATCGTTTTCCGTACTTTTATAATAGAGTCATTTACATTTTTTATCATCTGTACAGGTTATGTGGCTGTTCCAAATCCAGGAGCATAAAAGGTACACAACAGTTTCGAGAAGTTCATATTTTTACAAAAACAAAATGTAGTGTTTTTCTTTGGTATCAACTATGCACCCTCACCTTCCGAGTGTATTAACTTTACTTTCTTTATGGTGATGTAAACAATTAACTATAAACAAATTTTGTTTTCTTACGAAGTTAAAAAATCTCTTTTTGTTACAATACGACTAATTGGTTTGTCTGTATGCCCAAACAGCCGTATTTAACGCTCAGATATTTGCTACATATTGTGAGTTTACATAATTACCAATGGCTTACTATATGTTCTCCAAACTGTTTCTCGTTTATCGCTCAACTATGTATGCTTATGTATCATAACGATCCATTCATCTACCAGCTACCGTTCATTTATGGTTTGCTTAAAACAGCCAAATAATTGATAACAAGTAAAACAAGTCAGTTTAATAGTTTCCTCAGTATATGATCATTTGAGAATTGTAATAATGTTTCAAGGAAATGTTTGTCACTTACTAATCTAAACTGGAGCCCATGCTTACCATT